AGGGCCCTAGTTTCTGCCTGGATGCTATCTCATTTGGTTTTAATATATTTATCCATTCATTATTGTTCCTTTTTATCGGCTCGCTAATATTGTTCATAATTTGTCCTTATCTCCAAGCCTGACAGTCAAATTTACACTCCGGCTCAGCAGACAGATGGAGAAATGACCCTTTTCCAACCCCTCCTTCCTTAACCCCTCTCCCCTCTTCATTCCTCTCTTCCTCTCCAAACTCCAATGAAACATGACTGACAGCCCGCTGTATAAGTAGTTGTCATAGCAACCTCCCCCATCCTTCTGACAAGTGCTTTTTCTCTATAGCACACTCTCTTCCTCTGTCACAATATCTCTCTCCCACCTTCCATCCCCACTCCCTTGCTGTTGCAACGATTGAGAAAGAGACAGAGAAAGAAAGATTTGAAAACCAGAGAGCACCTAAGGCAGTTGGTGTGCTTTCTTTCGCCGCATCACCCCCACTCCCGTTACTCCCCCTCTCAGTCTACTCCCACCCTTCCCTTTTCTCACCCTCCCCACCCTTGACAATGATTTACCAACTCCTATGGTGTACATCTTTCATTCATCCTGTCTTATCAAGAAGTACAGGACTGTATGCACATCAACTTACAGTATGGGCACATCGTTCTCACTCTCCTAAACATTCACTCTTACCTACTCTCTCTCTCGCATTCTTCCTCTACGTCTGCTTCCCCTAGCTCTCTCCTTTTCTTTCTTTCTCTTGTTGCTCTAAAAACTCCTACTCTGCCCCAGTCTCATTTCACTGTCAAAATCCTCAACAGTCTGCAGAGTAATCATTGGGCATACAGTAAAACGTCTCCAGTATGCTGGACTGTGCTGCAGAAAGTATATACAGTATGCTGTGCGGAGCAGCAGATCCTTCAAGCTTCCAGTGGAATTAAACATTATGTAACCAAAGAAGGTATTGTGCAGAGATTTAGAGCACATTTATAGGGAAGGAATTACAGTGGTATTGTTTGTGATGTGCATGCTGTAATGCAGAATCACTAACTGAGATATGAAATATTGCTGATATAATTTGCTTTTGCCTAGTGACTTGAAGACCTCACACAAGCTCAATGCGCTCATACTGAAAAGCTTATATTGATTAGAAAGGGCCCAAATGGACCCAGCAATCTTCAGTATGTATAACCAGGCAGCACATTGCTATTTCATTATTCTGGAGTTTAATTGCCAATGCATTTATTCCAAACAAGCGTCTGTTTAGTAACTCAGAGTAAATTAAACATGATGGGGGTGAAATTCAGGATAGCAGTGGTGTGTCACAATGAAGTTGCGTACAGTACTCTACCACAGCTGTAAATGCATCTTAATACCAGCATGCTGCACAGCTAACTTGCTGGTGGTTATTAGACCCCTGAATTGTTTAGGTGATAACTTTTCACTTTAAACACTACAAAGCAGAGAGTTGCTATAATTTAGCATGATATTCATGTCGACTAGGCTCTGTTGTGATGTGAGCGAGAAAAAACAGCTCATAATTTCTTGCCTTATTTTGTATTCATTTATGCAGGAGATGCCATTTACCACAGGTGAGTAGCTGTAACAGAAAGATGATTCAGCTGTTTTTAAAGGCTGCAAAAGAGAAAAGAGCCATCCAAAAACAGCATTTGCTACTAATCATGTTTTAACCTCTCGGTTTTGCAGAATGTTTCAGGGTTGCGTGTGACTGACAGTTCAACTCACTGAGCTAAAAACAAGATTCAATCAGAAATGGTCTTGTCATGACTTACTATTAATTATGTAAAACACACTTGACATTGGCTTAATGGGCCAGTTCAAAGTAGCTACCCTGTCCAATGAGTAAACCATCTTATATTATGCAGTGGGAAGAGCTTAAATGGAGTCGAGGCAAAACAGTGTTGTTTGGTGTTACCTGCATATAATGAAGGATTACATAATGTAGCTCTCGAGTGCGGGGGGTCAGTTCCCATACATATGGAATATGTCACTGGACAAAAAGATATTATACTGAGAAACACTGATGTGAAATTGAATTGCAGATCGAGGATGAATGATCTTGAGCTGTTCTACAGACTGAATTCATGTGAGTTTGGAAAAGTCTAGGTTTCTGCAGAAACTATCTTCCTCTTAGTTTTCCGTCCAGCACATGTAGCGAAAGCAGCACAAAAAGCAGAGCAGCATCTTCCGTTCTTCGTCTGTGTCTAGACACAGGGTGCCTTCAGGGCCAGTATCGAGTGTAGGTCACCCATGTTTTGGCAACGCACCGAGCCCAATGCAGAGTCACTGTAGTAAGGCACATAAAAAGTAAAAGTAAAAATATGGTTCGCAAACCATTACACGCCCTGTGTAGACAGCTTAATTGAATAAAATAGAAGCGTATAAGTTATGAGATGCGTATGCATATGACGTGGTTGTGAGACTCCAAATCTTTTGTCTATATTAAATATTAGACAGCACTTGTCTAAAGAATAGCTACCCTAAAGAAAAAGTAATTGTAGCTATAGGATGGTTAACAGTGGGACATGCAGCTTGTCACGTGTCTACTACATGTGTGGTCATGGTGGGGAGTCTGCCGTCTGTAATCCTCTGTTTCAGGGTGTGAGCAGATATCCTAGTTAAACATGCAATTTTTTCTCTCCCTTCTCCGTCTTTCCCTCGGCCTTAAGATATGTATAAATGACTGTAGGTGTTTTGTACTCTATATGTGTGTGCTGCAGTGTTGTAGATAAATGAGATAATGTTTCTATTGGCAATGAACACAACACCTGAATTCCCAAGGTAGCATTTTAGTTCAGAGCAGCCACAGCAGAATCCTAGACGGTGGAACAGATCTCCTAGATGATCTGTTTTCATGCGTTGTTAGCTTGTTTTCTAAGCACATGCACTCCATCTCTCTCTCAGCCACAGATGAGAAACTCCTACTAAACACTGCTGTAAATATAAAATTCATATAAAGACACATCATTCTTACATTCCAGTCAACTCCTGCATGTGTGTATAGATTACTACCTCCTTCAGACATAATGACAAAAGCCAACAGACTGAGCATCCAGTGTGTAATGCTTTTCTGTAGCTCACTGTGAACCAAGGATGTGATATATAGTGGCCAATGGTCCTGTTATACTTGGAGTCTTATAAATATTGTTCCATTCAGCTGGATGTGACATGTAAGTTAGCAATCTTTCAGCTGAAGGATGGATGCTGTGTCGTATTTTAAGACACGCCACATGCGAGCTGTTCATAGTGTGATCGTCAAAGTGCAGCTCATATGAAATTGATAAAGGTCATGCATTCATTCAAAACTTGTCAGATCCCATCATCTACTTGAAGAAGGGAGTTGCAGCCAAAGTAGGGGCAGGAGGAACGCAAAGGGCAACTGTAGGATGCATGGGTGGTCCTGTGTGCGTGGCTCTTCAGCTGTATACAGGAGCGTATATGAGATGTGGTCCGGCGGCATTCAGGGAAATTTATGCAGTCCAGCCCCTCCCCCTCTCCTCGACTCATCTCCCACATCCAACCTCAGAATTTATATTCTCCCTCCAGCAAAAGGAAGGACCATCTTGGCCTTTCATTTTCCAGTTCAGGGCTTTCCTTTTTTTGCAGATAAATGCTCTCCAATCCACCCTGACAGATGTCACATTGCATCACTTCCATTTTGATACATAGGCTCTGATCCTGCCACTTGCAATAAGGAGCCAGCACCAGGGACACCCCTCCCTAGACAACACTCTGACATGGGTGATTATTTTAAAGGTGCATCATTGGTGGTGCTGAGTGCTGAAACCCTAGCTGTACGCTGTGCCCGCATACACTCGCTGCCATGCCTGCTGCAGGAATGTGGGTATTAGCGTGTGTCTGGGTCAGGGAACGACAACAACACGACGCACTCAGTAGTCGTCACACGTCACTCTGACACTGTGCAATACCTCTGGCAGTGATTTATGCCGCTCTCAACCTCTTCACAGCAGCGGCCGCTAGTTCTGTCTCTCACTCAGTCTCTCCACTATGACTTCACAGGTCAGAGTTGGAGAAACAATCTGTATAAAGGGAAGGCTTTTTGCCAGCAGAGACATGCTGCATTTTAGCATTAATCATACAAGGCCAGTACATCAGTAAACACAGTGTGTCAGGTCAAGGTATAGATCAGATCCCACAGCATTTAACAGGACTCAATAGCATACACGCTATCTATTGAAAAGTCAGCGTTATTCATGGCATGTCTCCCAGCCTCCGTTGCTCGCAGGAGAGACACACCATTGTTCACTGAAGAGCATACTGAAATATTTCTCTGGCTACACAAAAAACACTGGATCAGCAGCAATTAGTAGAGTAAGAGAGAGATAAAGAGAGGAAAGGAGGCGGTTGAAAAAGAATGGGGGGGGATCAGCAAGAGGAAAGAAAAGCAGAAAAAAGAGAGATGAATAGAGAGGAAAGAGAGGAAGACCAAGGGAGAGAGTGGGTAAAAGTGTGTGTGAGAGAGAGAGGGCGGGAGAGTGAGTTTACAGCTAGTACAGTGTGGTGTGTAGGAGGCTGGAGCAGCCTGGAGCCCCTGGTGCTTTTAAAGGACCAAAGGCTTGCTCATTGTCTTGGATGCCTGTGTGTGTGTGTGTGTGTGTGTGTGTGTCTTTGTGTGTATGCGCGTGAAACCTCTTCATTAGTCTTCCCATTGCTCTTCCCTCCAGCTCCTGACCACTCACTTACCCCCAGCAGCTAAACTATATGTGCCCATATGGGACTAAATCCAGTTATGCTATTAAAATGATCAGTCTTAGAAAAGAGATAATACAATGTGACTTAAGCTGAACCAGTGCTAAATAAACTAGACAGATACTCTACTACACCAAGGCTCTGTGAAACTGTTTGTTTCTGTGGAAAAATAGACGTCTTCTTGAATTATACCCTGTTTCACCAACAATGAGGTTTCACTACTGTATGTTCTGAAATTGGCTTCATAATTGAGGTCAAAGTTATAATTTAACCTTTTGTCTCGCTGTTTGTTCCAGAAGACAGGAAGTTGTTTGTTGGGATGCTGAACAAACAACAGACCGAGGAGGATGTTTACCGCCTCTTCGAACCCTACGGAGTCATCGAGGAGTGCACGGTCCTAAGAGGTCCTGACGGAAACAGCAAAGGTAGGAGCCATGATATAGTTGTCAGCATTATTTAGGTCACTGGTAGAGAAGTGACAGTATGTGTGAGTGCCTATGTCAGCTGGGGCATGGAAAATATATATGACATATGCGTCCAGATATGGGTCATGGGTCATAATTACAGACATTTTTACCCTGCACTGTTTGATGTGCTAGTCGGCTGCAGGCAGTGACAAAAAGGTTAAACCTAATGTATCAAATATAGTTTGATTATATTGATTGATTGTCTAACTTTCATAATTAGGAACTGTGTGAGACATTAAGTGGATAATTAGTTGGGTTGACTTTTGTTCAATTTGTAGAGAAATTATCGTAATTTTTTTGTAGCAACAGACCCTAAAAAAATTTGTATTTTAATATGCAATAAAATCCAAAGGCCAGATACAAATCCAGGACTCTCCACTCATAGTAGTCACCAGCAACAAGATACCCAGTGTTTTCACTAAGTGTAATCTCATCAAATACAGCAATGGTTAAAACAAGTGCGGGCATTTCATTTTAAAAATGCTGACTTTGCCATCACAAACTCTTCCTCAGCATATATTTTGTTTAAAAAAAACCCTCCTCTACAGTATGTAACAAAGCCATCATTTCTATTCTGTCACTGTCCTCATTTTTTTGTGAGGGTTAATCTGAAGCATTTTTTTCCTATGGATGTACTGCAGGCCGTTACTTGGGTACTGTAGTGTTGATATCTTGCAGGTCTTTTTAAGACAGCCAAAAAACTTCTGGGGACATCAATTCCCTCTGACATGCAGCAAAGAGCAGAGGGACTAGTGGTTTTTCATGTCTCCAAAGCCTATTCCCCAGCCAGCGCTTATGGAAATTGTTGTGGAATTATATCTAAGGGGTTTGAAGCCAGAGCGTTCTGACTCTGCAGAGGTTTGGAGGAAGAGAAGGGAAAGATGGATGTCAAAACAATTCAAGTGTCCCCACTGTGAGGATGGGGGCAGCCAAGGGAAGTTGCATTCCTCTTTGCGGCTCTGCAATATTTGTGCTCTTTAAAAGTCAATTCATGAGGGTGATACACTCAAAACGTCAGACTCAAAACATTACTATCATATTCATCTGTGAACTTTGTATTAGTCTGTAATATTCTTTTTTTTATTATTATTATTTTAAAAACCCAAATCAATAAAATATCCCCGTCCCTTTCTGGCAAAAAACGGATGTGTTTTGCGCTTCGCCATCACAAACTCCTGTTTGTACAGGAATGTGAAACAGTACTAATACTGTAAGTTTAATAGTAGAATATTTTATACTCTCTAGTTATTCAATTTCATTTTAACACTCCTCTTTGTTTTATTTCAGTAAGGTAAAGGCAATGCATGGCTTGCAAAATATATTAAGAGTTAAATGCATAATTATAACAGCAAATAGTTTGTACCACTGTAGCAAAGTCCTTGTACAGGTCATGCCGAGCTCTAGCTCTTTTCAATCCATATCTCAGTGGGGGGTAGTGGTTTGACAGCTGAATGGGCATCTTGATTGGCTGGTGTCCACAGGGGTTAGCCCATTAAGAGTGGAAGAATGGCAGGGCGGCTGGGTCAAGCAGGATAGATGATAAGAAGAATAAAGTATGAAAGATTAAATAAGAATAGAAAAGAAACTTAAAATGAAATGAAATTAGGTGAAATAGGGTATAATTATAGGAGGGCATGGTGGCTCAGTAGTTAGTGCTGCTGCCTCACTGAAACAGACCCATGTACAGTCCTCATATGTTTCTGAGAGTTTAGGGGTGTGATAAACTCACACCAGAGATATGCAAAAAAACACTGGATTGTGTGCTGCATAATCTGCACATTGAGAATGTCATTGTTATGTAGCTGTGTGAGTGGACATCGATTTTTGTGTGGAGAAATAGGGACACCTTACTAGTCCTGGAAATGGATTACAATATGTTTCTGAATTTTTTGTCAAGTCATGCAGTTTGTGCCCCAGTACTGAGAACTGGAGTCTTTCTGAAGGAGACAAAGTGTACAGCTTTGAATCAATTTGTATAAAAAAATGAGCAGCTCACTTTATGAGCCCACAAAAAGCTATCTTCAACTGGTTTTCACTGTATCTACTCCTCACAGTATTGCTCAAGGACATTAGGGCCTAGAGTGTTGGCTCTGTGGTTTCTGGCCTTTGGACTGACATCTTCATATTCACAGATATTGATCAGAACATCCTGTTGTGGGAATTATAAAGTTCTCAAATGGAGTGGAGTTTAGCCACTTTAGCTAGTATTTAATATGCACAGACAGGCATGTGGTGCTAAATAGCATGCTTTTCTGCTTCATCAGTGCAATCTTTAGCCTGCAGCTTCTGCCTGCTTGTCTGCCTGCCTAATGCCGGGAGTGGGGCAGCCTACTGTGCAATGAGAGCATCTCACTGCACAGTGTTTTCTGTGGTGTCAAATATAATTCAACACCCTTTATTAATATACTGTAGGCTTTTAAACTCACTCGATTGATTACATTCACAGTATATATATTCTGTGTGTGTGTGTGTGTGTGTGTTCTCTCTTCTAGGTTGCGCCTTTGTCAAGTTCTCCACACATACTGAGGCTCAGTCTGCAATCAGTGCCCTCCACGGCAGCCAGACCATGCCAGTGAGTACAGCTCTCTACCTCACATATAAAAACACAGAAACATATACACGCAACGCAGCATCCATCATCGCATACAGAAGTGCACACAGACCAATGGCCGCAATACTTTTGTGCAGTCCACCTCTCTTGATGAAGAGGTGTAAACTCTTACTTTTACATTTAACGCCAACTTCAAGGTTTCAATCTACTTACAGAAAGTGCTACAATCCTCATAAAGATCCCAGATTTACAAACAGACACAACCAGAAATAGCCTTCTGTCTCTTTAATTAAGATTGTACTTCTTGAAAAAATCCAAATCTAATTCCCAGATAAAACTGTTTAGAATGATAATTGAATTTTGGGTGAGTCATCAATCAGTAGTTCTGCTTGCATAATCAGTGAATATAACTCCAGTGTGAGATTACATTTGCTCGTTATGTAAGCACACCGTGTCCTCTGAATTCTTTCTATATTGGATTTACTATGAGCACAGAAGCTGCACTGCTCATTTGTATGTGTCTCATGTTTAGGCATGGTCCCTGTATACCTGATGGTGTCAAAATAAAAGCTACTTACTCTACACTCTAGACCTGAATAGTTATTTGCCGTGACATCCAGCGAGCGGACAGAGAGTCACGTCCCACATTGTACAGTAGCTTGAAGTATACTGTGCTTTTATCCTCATTTTTGTTTCGATAGTTCTCGCCTCAGAGAAGCAAGGACCATGAACTTTCTCCCACCCTATCTCACAGATGTTGTGTTTCACTGTATGATTTCATTATTAATGGATGCCAATGTGTGGCTCAAGAGCGGAAAGCAGAGAGAAGCTCTAGAAGCCAGCTGTGCCTTTTTTGCGCAACCTCCGAGTCTATCTAAGTGCAAATGACTGCAGGTCATGAGGAAAGACTCTGGATGTCCATTCTCCATAGATACCCTCCTTCTCTGTTGCTCCATCCCCCTATCTCTGCTAGCTCTCTGCCCTCACTCGTCTCTGTTTGCCAGCCTCTCGGGATATTAGGCAATAGACTTGTTTACTCCACCTTTCACCACATTGGCTCCTGAATTATTCATCTAACTATAAGCAGGGGGCAGAAGGGAGGGGAGGAAGAGTTGGAAAGAGAGTGAGACACGGAGAGTGAGAGAGAGGCATAGGGAGAATGAGTGAATGGACAGGATTTATACCTCCTGCTCTGGTAAATTGATTATAGAAATCTGATCAGCATCTCATATCCTGTGGCTGCTGGAGGAGAGGGCACAGTGTGCCTGCCTCACTGAGATTAGTGGACCACCGGTGGACAATTACGCCTCAGCAGGATGGTGCTATTCAGAGCACAGTGTCCATCAATGTAGCAAAGATCCTGGAAAAGCCTTGCACCATACATCCTGTGTCCATTTGAGTTCATGTTGGTTGGAGTTGAGTCACAGCTGTAAATAGAAGTCATGTACATGTGCATCGATGTAATGTAATAACAGATCTTTCATTTCTAACACTTTGGGATGCATAAGAAAATAAGACATAAATAAAGAAGTGAAACAAAAGAAAAAAAGACATTTGACAGCTACTGAACCTTTAAGAGCATCCATTGCCTGGCAACTGTCATAACCTCATTTCTACTTCTCTAGGGCTAATAGACATGATTAATTGTTCTAATGAACTAAGACAAACAGAGCCAGCATATGTACATGTGTGCGCATATTAGCTGCTACACCAAGTCTGTGGCTGTTCTGTGGTTGTTGACTCAGAGAGATGACCATGAATAAAGCCGAGCCAATAGCGTCGCTAACTGAGGTGTTGAAGTGCATTGAATATTAACACTTCAACTAACTACAGCAGTTTGATAGATCTACTGCCAATCCCCCAAAGTATGAAGACTGGCTTCTTAGAGTTTATCAGTGTGCGCACACACGCACACATGAACGCATGAGTGTGCATATGTAAACATTTACAAACAGAAGCACTTTGTGACCAGCACATATGCATGAGCACACACACACAAGCACACGCACTCATATACACTCTTTCTATATTGCTCCTCTCTCTGTTTCACTGTCACATTATTTCATACAGCCACAGGCTGGGGTCAAAGGCTCCCTGACTGATCATATTTTCCAGCTCGGAGGACTTGAGTTGAATACATTTGTGTTATTCATGTAGAGGGGGAGTGAGCATTTTATATGTATTGTATGTGCAAGTTGGGAAGGAAAGACAAAATCTGCATAGTGTGTGTGCACGTGTGTGGAGATATGTGTACATAAATTTCAGTGCACGCAAAAAATATACTTATACGTGTGTAAGAGCATATATACTTTGAATACTAAATATTCATCTGTGTAGTAATGGACACCAAATGAAAAATTATCTGCCAATGGCTAACTACGACCTAATGTCACTGGATGAATGATGATAGTAAGATAGTGTAAGTGGATGAATTATAGGAGTGCATCTGCAGGTCACATGTAAGACCTTGGCTGGATCTCCATCACACCCTAACCCGTCATATTTCAAGCATGCATACCTCCGCCTCCCATACACACAACCACCATGCCTCAGCCTCCTTCGGCTATCACACACACACACACACAAACACACACACACACTGCCACAGTTCAGTATATGATGGATCAATTAAACATTTAAACGCTAGAGCTGTAAAGCAAATTGCTGGGATTCAGCAGGGCCGTGTAGGAAGTAAGTCCCGGGACAGAATTACACCGAGATGAGGGGGGTGTGGGTCAGGTCCATAGAGCCATGCTGATTTTTGCACAATCTACGGCAGCTCAGCCTGGGTTTGAATCTGTTTCAGCTGACACAGGGGCTAAGATAGAAACACTGGAGCAGAATGATGGAAGGATGAGATCAGAACATGGGAAAGCAAATGAGGTAAAGTTTTCATAGAAGAGACAGCTAGATGATTGAGAGTGAGGAGAACAGCAAAAAGAAGCATCCAAATGTGATTCCCCAGCTGATGAATCTCTATTACTTCAGACAGAGAACACACATACACACACAAGTGCAATGAGTGCCAGGATTTGATGCTCAACAAGTCAAGTTTTTTTAATGTACAGATCAATATGTCACTGCTTTAACTAATAATACAATTAAAGGTGAAAGGCAAAAAATGTCAGTATTTCACAAGGATGATTTCACAAGGATCTTTGTGTTGCTCCCATTAAACAACATTCTGCCTTTACATTTTTAAGTTAGTGTTTAAGACCTGTCATTTCCCCCAAGTTTTTTTCTCCCCAGGCAATTCACAATTTAATAACCAAATAGATTACGGTCATCCATTAGTTTACTAGCCAAGCTCAAAGAGGATGTGTGTTTATATGATTCCATGTGTGGTAATTTCTAATTAGTACAATAAACATGGAATGGTATCATGCAAAGGACATCAGTTATAAGCTATACACTGTAGCGTCAATATAGCACTCAGTGTGACTAAGGGAACTTTGTTATATTTTAAGATATGTGGAACTCGGCATAGCCTCAAAACAAACAAGAACAAATGCCAAATAGTGTCCAGATAAAATGCACGTTATGCACTGGAGTTGTTGAGGGAAATCTCTGGTCAAAGTAATTTTTAGTATTAAGTTGTAACTTCTTAAATATACTTTTTTTTTTTATCTGTGGTTAGCAATGTGGATGGAATATGATGCCATATGATGACAATTGTAGTGGCATTGCATTTAAATTAAAAGAGGCAGTTTATATCTTGCAGGAGGTGATGAAAAAATGTTGTAATAATGTTGCAATCACATTTATCAGAAAGACAGGATGGGGTTTTTTTTGTTGTTTGTTTTTAGTACTTGTATGGACTTGAATGGACTGAATCATAGTTTTTATGACTAACCCATGCAGACTGGGACACCCTTAAGGCCTTCAGCATGTGACACTATAAACACTACAGCTATTTACCATTACAGGACACAGTGATTCCTTCTAGCTTCACCCTACACTAATGCAAGCCGGCATATGTTTAAAGTAAAAGAAATATAGAAATGTGTAGCTGTGCATGCAGCTTGGACAAACACCAAGCCTCTTTGGCAATGAGAAAGACCTATAAAGAGGCTTACTTACATTTTGGTTCTGAATCTCTGTGGTGCCTTTTTTTTTTTATCATCCCTGTTTAACTCCCCTTCCTTCAGTGGCTCTCTAGGCAGCTGGGAGCCGCCTGGTGGGGGGATTCTGCTCACACTTGGCAGCTTAAAAATTTAATGAGACTTTTACTTCACACTTCATCCTCTTCTCTTTATAGAAATGGAGATTCTGCTCACTGATATCCTGACAGGCCTAACTGGGAAAACCTGGGAGATAAACAAATGTGGCAACGGATGCTTAGCCAACAAGCCATATGATTTGGGTGTCCTGAGGAGAACCAGTGGGAGGGCAAAGTCAGTGTATAGACCTTCTTGGAAAAAAAGCTTTGCAGAGAGTGGGAAATACATGCACGTGTATGAAAGACAATGGCACAAGGCGCTTATACAACCAGACAGGCTATTATTCAAGTACGCACACTCCCGTCTAGTTCTAGTTGGAAAAGAGGTTGATTTCAGTGTTCCAACTTAATATCCTCAGATTATAAAACTCAGCCTTCCCCAAAAATTAGAGAAGCAGAGCAGGAACACGCAGCTCTCATTACCAAAGCGGGTAGGCATTTAATAGCTTTTTTAACTGTGAGAGTGAGTTAAAATATTCAATATGTACTAGCACATCTCCTATGTATTCTGGTCCTGCACTGCGCTGTCCTGCATGCTCACAAAGTTAAACCTCATAATAAAGTTAATGATGCAGATAGTAAAGAGTTGGAGAGACACAACAGACAAACCCTAAACTGGCAACTATGCCAAGGTTAAACTTGAAGTGACTGAGTGTAGTCTTTATACGTAAGATGTTGCTTAAGAGATAGAGAAACAGAAAGTACATTTCTTATAGATGATGTTGTTCTGTCTCTTGTTTCTATCCTGTTTATTCAAGAATCATACATGACTCTTAAGGACCAGGAAAAGTGTTATTCCAACGTGGCAGAATGGCACATGCAGTGAGAAGCAAAACAATTAGTCACTCAGCTGGCCAGAGTATAGTTGTCAGCCAGCTTGACAGTCTGACAATTAGTCTTTTAGCCGACCATCCAGCCAACTATCCCAGCAGTCAGTCAATCACTCAACTAACTAGACAATCAGCCATCTTGCATCAATAGTTTGGCAGCCAACTAACCAACTGCCCGCTCACCTACAATCCTTCAAACCTGTGATTCAACCAGTGAACAAGCCAGGAGGAGAGCGCTCGGGGGAATATTGAAAAAAGGGGGAGAAAGAGTAAAGGAGGATAAAATCTATATGCTACAGTCAAAAGGTCCAGTGCCTGTCTTTAAACATGTCTTGCTATCTGTAGATGTCTTTATTAGCAGAACTCCTGACACCCCAGTCAGGGAAAATGCAAACAAAGGAAAATACTGATAATATAAAAACTGCTTGCCAATAATCCAACACAGCTCTTGCCAGGTTTCACCAAGATCCAACCAAACCAAGAAATACCCATTCAGCCCTTTAAAAGCCCCAACCCCCAACCTTCAATTCAGTCATTTCACCAGTCACCACTATTATTGACAATCTTGCATCAATTTCAGAGGTCCTCTTATTGTGACTGACACACAACCTTTCTACACTGTCAGATCAGAGTAATATTTCGGCCTTTTATGTGGATCGATTGGCCAGTTTGGGTGCACAGAGGGGAGGAGAGGCGGAGCACACAAAAGGTCAACTGTAGCTCTAAATCATTTGAAGATTCTTAATGAAGGGTGTGTGGCAGACACACCTGCTGTTTTCAATACTGGGCTGCAGAAAGAGGAAATAGTGCTGATAAGGGGATGGATGGCCAGAGCCATAGAAAAAAGGTGTAAGGCTGAAACAGAAGGAAGACAGAATGAGAGAAATTGCTCTAAAAAGCAACATTTTCTTTGAAGAACACTTTCACCAAGGTCAATAGGAACCACTAGCAATTGTAGCTTTTATTTCAAATCATTGTATGTTGTAGCTGTTTTAACCTTAACTGTGGGAGGGAGCACCAAAGTTACATATATGTACTGTACGAGAGGGGGAAAGCTGGGGGAAAGTATTTATGTCATGCACAGCAAGGCTGCTTTGCCCCGAGTGACTTTGTACATAAGCTAAACACTAATTGAATAAATGGATGGTTTCTGTCTGCACATCTGCCTACTTAATAAAAAGATTCTACTTACTGAGTGAACAGAGCTGTTCACTCAGTAAGTAGAATCTTTTTATTCTTCACCTATCTCTATTAGATTCATGTTTTTGTATGCAAGCCACATAATAAGGAGGCATGGTTTTCTGCAACAATACAAATGTGCAATAATGTTGCATCTAGAATGCCAAAACAAACTGACTTGCAATTAGAGTAGCTAGATATTGATGTAAACAGAAGTTGTTGTTGCTAATGAACACAGCATACTAAGAAATCAGAAATAATAACCAGTAACATTCTTCTTGCTCTTGTATAAGCCCTTTGTTAGTGGCTGTCTCTGAATATATGGTAAATCAGAACAGTCACATGCAAATTATTCCTGAAGTGTCGCAAAGCCTTTTGGGGATAGAGGATGAGATACTGTGAGTGTTGGCGGTGAAGGTGCCTACAGTAAAGAAGGGTTAAGTATCCACGCTCTTTTCTCTCTGATTTTCAGTTTTTTCTACCCCCTCAGGGTGCTTCCTCCAGCTTGGTGGTCAAGTTTGCCGACACAGACAAGGAGCGCACCATCAGACGTATGCAGCAGATGGTTGGGCAGTTTGGCATATTCAACCCAGCCATCGCCCTTCCCTTCAGCACCTACAGCTCTTACGCACATGCGGTGAGTTGGAAAAGACACATGTAGCACACACAAAACAACACAAACATTACATTCTTAAATAAAGATATGTACATGAATGAATGAAATTTCAATGCATGAGCTTTACTCACTGAATGTGAAACTGTCAGGATGTCAGGATACTGCTAACTCCCCTTGTTCTGTAAAGTCCTTGATTCTGCTGTAGTCATGGTCAAATAATATCTTTTATATTAACATGCATAAAGTAGAAGTAGAAGTAAATGCGCATGGGTATGTGAAAGGTATCGTCGATAATGACGAACCCACAAAGAGTTACCACTGGATTCTGCAGTTTCCCTCGGCTCGTTTCTGTGTCTTTCGGTTCAGTGTTTTTATGGCCTGCAACTTTACTGTTTCAGTTCACTATCACCAAAGATTTCCATCATTTTCAGCCGCAGTAGGCAGTTGTTTTCGGCAAAAAAATAAATAAAAACCTACTATACGCTCCCTGTCTAGCACCAAACAGCAGGCGGACACTAGCTGGTGAACACGGTAGCATTTAACAGATAAAGAGCCAGATATTTTCCTCAGTAGTTGGAGGAAAGCAAAGAAGACTGAATGTTGGGCTTCATAAGGGAATATGTCAGTGCTTGTTTCTGCTACCAGCATGAGGCTAAAAAAATCTGTTATTGTGCATTTAAATGCATAAATCTCATATCTTTTATTTCACCAAATTAACCAACATATATAGTCTGGGTAGCTATATTTGATGTAGCCAAAATGTTTTAAGCCATTAGGTGTAGAATTTGAAAAGTTCCAACTTGGGAGCCCTCCAATGGAAGAATCAAACCTCCCCTGTGGATTCAGCTCCAGGACAGTGAGATGGATGGACTAAGCAACATATACGCTGCACTAACCTTCAACAGGATTGTTTCCATTTTCTACACAATTTAACTACAAAGCTCACACAGCCAGAGTAACTTGAAAGACCATACACAAATGTGACACAGTGTCTTTTAGCAAGTGTTTGTTTGACTTGTAATCCCCTTTGGGTAGTTCAGTATATTGCTGAGGTAGGACCACTGATGTGTTAGAATTCACATCACACATGGCACACAAAATTTAACTACTTTACTATAACTGCCTTTAGCTTAGCTGTAATTTGGTCCAAGCAAACATCAGATATTTTAACACAGGATATCTGCCATTGAAAGCTGTCATTAATAACTTTTCTTGGAATTTCTTGTCATTTATAACTTTTTTCTTGTAACTTCAGTACACAGAGGGAGTTGTGTGTTTTGATACCTCTTAGTAGTGAAAATTTGCTTGCCAAACTATCATCACTTCCATCAGCACCACTTCTTTCTCCTCTCCTTTCCTTGAGCAGTGCTGCCCCACCATTACATTCAGGCTTTCACTACCCACAGCACGTAGGCACACACACATTTAGTTAACTTGTACCCTCCAACCCATCAGCTTCACTCTGCCCTCCTTCCCCCGTCCTCCGTACCCCCCCCTCAGGGCATGGCACCATACACACACAGCAGACCCCCGGCTCTTTGATGACTTCAGACAGCGTATGCAGCCCCTCTCACCATGCGCCCCCTCTACCCTCTATCACACTGCTTCTCTATCCTTCCCCTCTCCCTCCCCCAGTCCCTCCCTCTGGGCCCATGAGATGCTTCAGGGGCCACAGTTGACTCAGAATATTCCATGGGCAACTTATCTGCACACAAACTTTCTTCTCCCTGCTGAGACAGCGCACACGCACGCCCTCACGTGCGCACACATGCCCACGCGCGCACAACCTACTTGAAACAGGCAAAAATGAATTTAAGAAAAGCTTTCCATCCAGCACTGAGATAAAAACCTGGGCCTCTGTCACAACACACTGCATAAATGCACATAAGGATCCGCAGAGTATTTATTTAGAGAGAAGGAGAAAAACAAATTCATTTCTTCCTGTAAGTTATATATTTTTTTGCTGTTTCTAAATGCCAGGATTAATTGTTGATGTTAGCCAGGTCTTGGGGGCTTATCCATTTCCCTCATTTTCACATCACAGCCATGGGACTGTGTGAAATGTGCAAATTGACCATACCAGAGTAATTGCGAGGCCATCTCTTGTGCTCTCTCCAGTAAAACTCCCACCTTCATTACCATTCATGAAATGCAGCCCTTGCCCGGGAAATGTGGAGAAATGCAAATGTTTAAGGGGTGGTGGAGGCAGTGGCGGTCTGCGGGGAGACCATTGTGCCCCGCTCAGGTTGGCCATGACTCTTATTTACTGTGGCAGAGACCCGTGTCGACTCATACAGAGGCACACAAGAGTGTACACACTCACACGCACTGCGCAGCAAATGCTCTTTCTCTCTCTCTCTCTCTCTCTCTCTCTCTCACACACACACACACACACACACATATAATATGACAAAGAGCAGGATGATGCTAGGAAATTGAGTTCCGAATAAAAGTAACAAGGGCATGGGGGATACTTCAGCATTAGAGAGAATCAATTACCATTAAATCTAAAGGACAAATTGCACGTATGTGGTTTCTCGACACAAAGATTATACAGCATGAATGATGTTAGCGAAGGTGAAGCTCCCCTTGTATTAGTATTATGAATCACAGTGACTGTGGATGCCATGCACCTGCATATAATGAATTTAGCAAAATAAAGCAAGTCGGTGGTGGAACTCCGAGGCAAGCCAACCTTGGAGATAAACTCATCCCAACTTTTGATAAAGTAATGAGTGCACAAGAGGCAGAAATGGATTATTAGCGTGGCTCTTTCTTCATATCTCACTAAAGACTTATTTAATAAGTCTAAATATAGTTTTGGACTGCTAGGTATGAAATAATGTGCTATAAAGAGAAATATTAGTTATCTTTAGTGTGGGTGTCCAGCTTGTGCAGTAGCTGTGATTACATTACAGTCATTGGTGCTGGCTGCATGCACATGGTATCCAGTCTTGATTCTCCTGTAGCCACCGGGAATGTGCTGAATTGATACGATGAATGTTTCTTTACGGCAAGATAAACTACAGATATTCCCCCAAGACGAAAAACCTGCAGTGACAGAAAAAGGACTTTATCTCCAAAGACACACTGCATGTTCGCCTACTCTCCATATACACCGGCCAAGGGAAGAGGAGGTGGCACAGTATAGAATACAGACGTGGCGAGAGATGGTATATATAGCTATAACCAGGGAGTACAGTACATGGTAAATTCAAAGAGCTACCTCTCTACTACAGCAGTGGATAGGATTATAGAGTTGAGCTGACAGCCAGTAAATTGGATTTTAGTCAAACCAGGAGAGGGAGGGGGCTCCGAACACAAATTGGAGGGGTACAACACTGACAACATATGCCAAAGATGAGAAATGTGCCATTTTCAACGATTGACACAGACACTGGTGTGCTCTGACAGGAGACATCTATTTGCAAAAAGGTGATTTCATAAAACACAAGCTGAAGAAGAGTGAGGGAGTGAGATTCCATGTTTCCTTCCGGTGTTAGTAGTGAATGATAATAGTTCTCCCATGAATCGCTGAATGCGGGTAATAAAACGAGCTTTTATTACCTTTTGTATTACTCCGTCAAGACACAAACATCATATTTGTACACGATTAGATTTGATTCAAGTCACTTTTCATCCTTCGTCTTCCAAAGCATCTCTGTGAAGACAGCCATTTTATAGCTTCCCTTGGACTCTTTAGGCAGAGGACTACATGCTGTGTCAGAGGACAAGAAACAAGTTTTAGATTTAAAGGCACCTCCAGCCCCTCTTGCACCTCTAAAAGATGCATTAGACTGAGTGTGAGATAGATAAATGAGAGCAGAGAAAATGGTTTAACTTGGTGCTAATAGTGACACTGTGTGGGTGGATGAGAGGGAGGATGATGACTGTAAACTCACATTAGGAAACATCTCCCCCTGTTGGAGGGACTCACATTCAAACACAGCACACATGAGAAATGATGGTAACAGATTACTGCATCATTTGGCTGTGCTGTAAACTGCCTGCACACTTACACACGAGCATGTGTGTGACCTGGTTTAGCTATATTATACTTGCAAGGACTAGCTCTACACGCACACACACGCACACACACACACACACACACACACACGTACATACATAGCAAAGAGCATCAGATGGAAAAAACCTATTAAAATCTTTCTGTGGAAACACAGCCTGCTAGTATGGGGGTAACAAATGAGGCCCTTGAGCTTCAGTCTTCTGTCTTCAGTCTTTTAGTTCACCTCATTGACCCACTGTCTCCCTCTCTCTCTCATTTTTCAACCTTTTTCACCCTCTCTGTCTCTCTCTTTCCCTCACTTTGTCTCTCTTTCTCTCTCTCGCTCTTTCTCCCCCTCTCTCCACCTATCCCTCCTTCCCCGGCTGGCTGGGCTATAAGGGGTCACATGTGACAGTGCTGAGAGTCAGCGAGTCACAGAGCAGCGCTACAGAGATAATTGCCATGTGATAAAGAGGTGATTGCCTGCTGGCACCAGGGGAGAGTAATGCCATCAGGTTGCAATAAAAAAGCAGATGTCTGACACTAAATGAATGCTGCTGGAGCCCGGGCAACTTTCTTTGCTCCCTTTCATCTCACGCGCTTCTCCTTTGTCCCCCTTGTTTCTGCCTGCCTTTTCTTCCCTCCTCCTTTCTTTTCAAGAGGAAGCAGAAAAGGTTGTCTGTGATAATGAAGACTCAGTAATGCACATTCTCCGCCTGAGACATTTGCTATCTGCTGGTTAGTGCATAAATAAAGAAATGGGAATGGCTTTTGAATATAATGCCTTTGAAATTTTGAAAAAAAGGGAAAAAAAGCATATACATATGAAAAGTAAAATGGAACGACTTTGAATATGTCTGTCAACATAACCACTCTGCTTTCTGTTCTTTATTTTTTTTTTATATCAGAGCCAGTTTGTACTAACCACTGCATTCCAACATAATTACATGCTTGGGTTTCCAATTTGCTGCATTTTAATTTGGAACGAAGCATCAATGAATGCTAGAGTTGTTATCCATGACAATCTGACGGATGACATTAAGGATTGCATTATCTAAGACATGCATTGAGAGAGAGGCTAGCATTCTGGAGTCACTAGTACTCAAACCCACTCCATTATTGCTCCACCCAGGCCTGTAGCTTGTATAAGGCCACAACGAATCGACTGCAGCCTTTTCAGAAACAGCCCTAAGTCCCCAGTCTTCCCAAGCCCAAAAAAAGACAAAAAAACAGTGAGTGGTGTGACAGTGTATTTATTCTGTAATACCAGCCCAGTCAGACCCTTCATCCTTAAGTCCAACCCTATTCACATCCTAATGCTCACAGAATTGTCAAAGCAATGGAACCCCAGATCCTCTAGACCTCTTTGTTTGTTTCTATGTCATTGCTTTTGTTTAGTTTCTTGTCCCTTGCCGTATTCTGCAGCTATGCCCCCTTAAAGGCTCAATTCATCTTATTTGGAAATGAATGGATGATCCCCATTTGTCACAGTGGAATTATGCAAATGACAAAAGGCGTTAATAGATAGCAGTGGCCAGGCATGTGGCTAATGGATGAGATGCCAGCACTGGGCATTCTGCATCGGGACAGCCGCTTTCAGGTTACCTGACAGGGGTACTGAGGGAAAATAATTTCCTTTTCCGTTGCAGGGTCCCCATGCAAATACAAGCAGAGTGGCATGCTATACCTCCACTGTCTCATCGTCATTAGCATTATTGCCAGTGGCAGAGGAGTTTGATTTCTGCTTATACAAGTCATTCTCAGGCCACGGCCATCAGCAGCTCCCCTGACACATAGCAGCACATAGACCAGTGTAAGAGGTTGGTCCAGCTGTGTTTGTATTCCTGTGCCACACAGGTCTGCATAACTACACAGTCTGCAAAAGATTGTTGATTCCCTCGATAAACCCAGTTGTTCACAAGCTGCAAAAGCCACTGTACAATAATGGATTTTCTTCTGAATTAGGCATTCAGCATGTGGTTTGCACAGGGAGAATTTAAGCTGAGTGTGGAAACTCAAATAGTCTCTATCGCACTTCATGCATGTTGTGTGTATATGTGTGTGAGCGCAGTGCAGGGCAACGGTGCATGTGAGCATGTCCTATGCATATGAATAAATACTCTGTGGGCTGCATTTGATGGAAAATAGTTTCAGCACCAGAGTGAATGAAAGGGTATTGATTTTATCTCTTTGTAGGACTGTCCAATGGGTGAATCGACTGCCATTGCAATTTTCTGACTAACATACTGTATTACTAATATGGTCTGGAATCTGAGCTGACAGCTACGCCTGCTTTAAAAATACAGTTTTAATGATTCATTCAGCATCTGGATTCAGTGACACCTCAAAACAGAGTGCAGTTCTGCGTACCAAAAAACACAATGTTGTCTGGCAGAAGTGTGTCTCTCAAACAACTCATCAGTGGCAAAGACTGTAGTCATTGAATGAAGTTCCCAAATGTATTCTGTTTGCAAAATGCCTTCTACTTGGCAAAACTAGCCCAGAGACATGCCTAGTGTTTTATCACTGAATTATAAAACACAGCAAATTCTGGACTCTGGATGAATGTCAGTCTACAAGCAACAATCATTACAAAAACATCACAAAAATTAGAGATGAGTCCTGGGAGAAACAGACGAGAGTGTGAGACGTCTGTAGCATTTCTATACAGCCAAACTTCCCGATACTCAGTGCATTGTGAAGTTTGATGATTGTAAGGAAAAAGCATTGCAACTCTTCTGCAAACTTTTCCTGTTCCCTGAGCACAGAGATAATGTGCACATGTCAATGCCTTGATTTGTATGAGCCCAACAGACAGCTATTAAATAGTTTCTGCAGCTGGTGACAGGCCTCCTGCTGGGAGGATAGACAGATTCACTAAACATAGGTTGACAGGCTTCTTTTTTCTTCCCTTTCTTTTATTCCGCTCTACTTTCTCTGTACTTCCCATGCACTATCCATCCATCAACCTCAACATACATCCCTCCCTCTGTTCTACCCTTGCCATGTTTCTCGCTCTCTCGCTCCCCTTCTCCCGTCTTTGTCTGACTCCTTCCCAACTTACTATATTTTTCATTACCATCTGTCCTCCCCTCACCTCTCCCGCACTTCTGCTCTCCCACACACCCCCCATCCAACCCTCCTTTCCTCCACCCATCTCTCCGTGTACCTCTTCTTTAGCTCATGCAGCAGCAGGCAGCCATCATGGCAGCAAGCCACGGAGGTTACCTCACGCCTAGCGTGGCTTTCCCCGCCACACAGATCCACCAGATGGGGGCGCTCAACATCAACAGCCTCCCACCCACCCCCATGACCCCGGTGTCGGGTGAGTTTCATCAAGCCCTGGGTGAGCACTCGGTTTCATTCCCTTTCCTCTTGTGAGTGTGTGTGGCTGTGTAAGTGTGTGTTTGCGGATTGATGGTGGGTTAGTGATGCAACAAGCAGGGCCTTTTGTAGGCTTTTGTTAATGTCTTACTTTTAGTGTGTGTGGGTATATGTATTTATACATGTCAGTGATGTTGTTGTAGGTCAGCTTGTGTTTTTGATAATGTCTATGTAAATATTTGCATATGGGTGAGGGGGTGTATGTGTGTGCGTGTTTGTGTGTGTGCATGTGCACTGCACAGCAAATGAAAAAAAAATAAAAAAAATAGGGCTGCAACAAGGCCAAGAAAAAGGATGTCTGCTTGCTGGTAATCCAAAATTATTCAACTGGTGACAAAGACATAGACACTAACATGAAAAAGTAGGTTCAATGGGATTTGCATGTTTATGTTGTTTGTGAATGCAGAAAGTATTTGGGGATCGTAGCTGCAGAATATGGAATATCAATAAGTAAGTTTACAGATAAGGCACTAATTTCCCTGTAGTATTTTGACCTTGTGCTTTGAAGCACTTGCGCATGATCTGCATGCAGTTGGTTTTGTTTTCCATAACAAACACCTCCTATGCAGATACATTACAGAGGAAAGGGAAGGACTTTGAAATACCTACCCACTGCATAACATTTGCTTATTCAGCAGTGCTTCATTTTCCTTGAGACAGAGGAAACTTCAAGATTCTCCACTCAACAAAAGCATGAGCTGAAATAAATAATACAGTATCCAAGTCTTTGTTGTGTTCCACTCACCTATCTTGTCAACACTGCAGTATTGAGTTTTTAAGGTGATGACTTTGGTAACTTTAAACCAATCAGTGTGAGAGAGAACTGCCACCAGTGCAACAAGGCCTATTTTAGATTTTCTTTAAAGCCATCATAGGAATCCAGCTTCTTAATACAAACTTACTCACTATATCAAATTGTCTCTGCACTGTGGTTTCTGTGGGGAAGAAAAATATTCTCTTAAATTGGTATTCTGTTCACTTCTTCACCCACAGACACAAAGAAAGGACAGTTTTATTGTACAAATCCTCTTTGGTTTGGTTTCACTTTCACCTATAGTCATTTGAATTCAAACAAACAGAACAGACTGCAGGCCAGGTGTGGAAGTCAATGTTAAAGGAAACGTATTCACCTTTTAATCACGCATGCCTCCACCTCAAGCCAAAGTAATGCATGTACATAAAGTGAGATGGTGGAACATGCCAGTGGACACACATTGCTGTATGTGTACAGTACATCTGCAATCATTTTCAACATCGAGCAATATATCTAGAGAGGAGACCCATTTGTCAAATATTCACGTTGATGTTTTCAGTGCAAAGTGTGCACTTTTGGGCGAGCATAATCAATCAGAGACAGTGATTAAAAGTGGAGCTCAGTCTTGCTGAGAAGCCTTTTATTTTGATGTGTAAAGCACTGGCAGCATGACAATTTAGATATGTGTGTTCTGCATGCATACCTGTATTTTGCAACACAATAGTGCTGATGAAAGATAGTGCAACTGCACTGCAAAGAACTCAGTGTGTGTGTGTGTGTGTGTGTGTGTGTGTGTGTGTGTGTGTGTACTGGAGGCTCTGTCCTCCAGCCTGATTGTAATGTTTCTGCTGTTTGTTTGAACTGTAGCATCTCGGAAACCAAAAATCAGTGCCTTAATCGAAAGGAAATATTCCTGTGTTTTGTTAGATACTCTGTAAAAGCTTAACTAAACTACTTCTGTATCAGAGAATGTAAGGCTGTTTTGTATTAATTGGCAATGCCAGGAGCTAACAACTTGGCTTAGGCAAAGAAAAAATATGTTTGTGCTTCTGATACAGAGACAGAGAGAGAGAAAGGAAGAGAAATGAGTGCCTTTAAGTCTGTGAATCATGTGTGTGTGAAGTGTTGCCATATATCCGCTTTCTGTGTACGCTACAGTCGACTGATTACCTTTTATTATTGAATGTAATATATTATTAATCCTTAAGAGAAAGCATGGCAGATTTTCAATGACTATTATAAATATGAAATGTTTTATTTCCCCTTTCTTCATTCATTAATTTGAACGTGGTTGTGCAGGAGTGGTATAGTCTAGCTTGCTGCTTTAGTATACACAACTATTTTCTCACTCCCTTTTCACACTTGTGGCTATGACTTATTTAGAGTTCATTGAAGGAATACATAACATTACTGGCAAGGCTGTCTGTATAAGTAGGCCAAGAGACTCTGACACTACTGAGAGACTGTAGGATGTCTGCCACAAGTCAGTGGAATAATTCATTGTAATGTCAGAATCTGTTTTTAGGTTCTGGGTACAGATTGCTTCTCTGCTTTGACAGAGGTGTAAGGTATGCATTAAGTTGTTTCATCAACCAAATTAGAGCCAAAACAGATCTATAAATTCTAACATTTGGCAGCTGTGTCAAATGTTCGAAAGCATTAAAGGTAGAAAGGTTAATGTCCCCTTTCCTTCCCAAATGAGAGCAATTGCCAATTGATGGCTAAACTACTGCCTTTCTGAATTACACACACTGCTCTGCATTAACATAAAGCTCCAATAGTAGCTTAATAGATGAAAAACCCTGTCTGATCTTGAGGTAAATGTGTAACATTAATCTTTTATTTAAATGATCAGTATAACCTTTGCAAGTAAAAAAAATCTTGTTTGTGACAGCACGCCAAAGTACAAAGAGGCTCAGAGGTTAAGGGTGTTACTCTGCAAACAATGAGACATCCATTTGATCAACAGATGCAAAGCATTTAAGCTTGATGGTGCATAAGCCGTTTGCCAGATGGTTCAGCTGATTAGAGCATGTATCCTTACAATGATGCATGATGATGCTTTTTGAAAATAATGTTCGCCAGGTGCCGCTCCCTGAGCGCTGCAGAAGAAATAAAAGTTAAACAAAACAAGGGAGAGAGAGGCAGAGCTGCGGTAACAGGAATTGAGAGAGGGAGATAAAGAGGGTGAGGGAGGAGAGGAAGGGAGAAATGGAGATGGATGCGGATCCTGCTGGGTATATGTGGTGAGGAACACATAGTGTCTAGGATGCATTGTTAGGATGTGAGAAGTCTGTAATCAAAGTAACTCTAATGTTCTGTCGCATGGTGCTGCTCTACACTGAAGATGTACATGCACAAGTACACATTACACAAAATATACTGCAGATGCTCCACAGCCAGGGACAAGCCACTCACAGGCAGGCTGGATATGCCACAACACCCCTGCTGGATTCGAGCATGGTTATACTATTGATGCAGAACACTCCATGGTGACAAACACCATGAAACTAATGAGCTATTTGACATAGTGATCTTTCTCAATATAAACACCTGTCTTCCACGACTCATCATACATGTTACAGACATTTTATATTTAATACAAACAACATTCAACAACAAATACAAATGGCAAATAAGGTTAGAAGTCAACTTAAACAAAAAAGAAAAACAGCACCGCATGGTGGTGACTTAGCTGATGAGAGTAAGTGAGAATCCCAAGTATTTACTACTATGAGTGAAGTATCACATCCAAGCTATTTGAAATGGAACATAGTTCTGTAGTCTGTTCAGAGCCAGATGAAAGAGCGATGAACACCTGTGTGTCTTTCTTGACAAAAAATGCATTCACTTTAGTTGCTTTCTTGAAGACTTTACTCTTCCAAACACTACTTTTACATTCATTTCATTTTCAAGGGCAAATATATCAACTTAGAAACATGTCCAGTTGCACAAAGGGTCTTTGTCCCTCAGATACACTGAGATAGATATTTTCCCCTTGAAATCAGGCCATTTGCATCACAATCATAACAAATCCCTGGAGTGAAAGTGAACAGCTCTGTGACAGCAAAAGGTATCCCTGTTCCTGGTGGGTTCGAGTACTTTCAAAGAGCACAGACACAGCTCTCAGATGGATTTGTGTAAGCAAAACGAAGGCTCGCACGAGCAACAGAGCTTCACAAGCTGCCCAGCTGGTCTGCTCGGGGACCTGAAAGTCAAGCACATTGGTATGGTCAATGCATTGTGTGTACATTAGCCTCGAGAGTGGAGCAGACGGCACTAGAGGCGTGTGGAAAGTTGTATTTAGTATATTGCCCTACATTGTATTTAATATTGTTTGGAGGTCCAGTGGTTGGTGCACATCTTCTACAACACTTTAATATAAGGAAAAACTGGTTCATCATGGCCCCGTCCACTCCATTACTTTTATTATCAAGCAGGCCAAGGTGACTACTGTAGGCGGAGCACACTCCAAGACACTGCAGACCTGTCCTGTAGAGATTGTTGGTTGACTCTTCATCTTCAATTTAGATGCAGCTCTCCTCAAAGCCCATTTTTGTGACCTGTCCTGATGGAGATGATGTGATAGGTGTTGATGGTTTGCTTTTTATTGTTACTTCCAGCAGGCTGAGCTCTTTAGTAGACACTAGCTGGTAATCATTGAAGTGCTGCCCCAAGTATTCTTTTATTCATATGTTGAGACTAGCTTCCACTTCAGCCGCCAGCCAGAGATGTTGCATGACTGTACAGAGTTATGTCATCAGCATACAAGCGCATTCTCACAAGCATTAACAAGGTAAATCAATCAAATAAAATCGGTGGAGATGACAAACAGGAAGAAGATTTAAGCAAAATTCTGAGCAAAAAACATTTGAGGTTTTATTAAGTAATAATTTATTACTACTCTGTAAAGCTGGTGCATCCTGGCTGTGCGGGTGTGGTTTGATCAGATTTGATTGACAGTGGCCTGGCAACCCGCCAACAAATTCATCAGTTGTGGATGACATGATTGGTAAGAAAGACCCATGATCTAACACAGAACAGACCATGCGTCAAGCACATTTAAAATTGTATTTTGATGTGCTGATAAATATATACTAGACAGTGAAACATTTTCTCTTCGAGTCTAAATGCATCACATTTTAAATCAGTTTGATGAAAGCATCTGTTTTGAGTGTTTACTGCTTGCTCCAGCAAAATACAGTCCTAGTGTTGGTAATGACTGCACTCTGATCGGCATAGCATTCCTCGTTGATTTGAATGTATAATTAGCATAATAAATACTTCTGTCGCATGTGAAGACTTCATCACAAGGAGCAAATCAACAGTCTTCCTCTCCAAGTAACAGCCTGCACAAATATGAATATGATTTCTGCTTCCATAACATTAATATATGACATACACATGTACATACTGTTTAGCAGTGCTGGCTTATTTCTTGTGCAGAAGACATAGTTAAGAGCTAGCTGTATAGAATATGTAATCTGCTGTCCCATAACTTCATATTCACGCATGCCAGAGTAGGGAACAACATATCATTATTACAGGCCAATACACGCAACACACACTGACAGCCAAGTGTATCTACACTCTTGTGTGTGCATTGTAAACAGTCAGGCTATGAATACATTTTCCCACAATGCAAGAACTATATATCCACTGAGGTATAAAATGAAAATGTCTTGTTATTTTCTAGTTCAGGATAGTATGAAATGCTGAGGAGAACATTCTTCTGCTTATGTTGGATATTGGGCCAATGTGACAGTGTGGAGGAAGATGATGACTAGGCTACATGAATGGCTTTCTCTTGTAATCATTGTTTTATTGGCCATGGAGTTTATTGTCTTTTTCTTATATCATAACTCTATTGTGTGATCCAATCCATGTATAAGCCAGCTACTGTAGTGTTTTTAAGCATTTAGTTTAGTAATTGTGGATAATTTTTTCAAGCCTCACAACAATAGCAATGCTGTCTTTTTTATTCATGATTCTGATGCTTATTCTGTGCTGTGACATTTCTAGCATGATAACCTGACTGGACTTGGTGGTACCAATCTATTACTTCTGTCACGTGTTCTCCTTTACAACAGATGTCACGTCCAACTGCTGACCCTAGAGCTTATGTAATTGCATGTAAGGGGTGAACACTACCACCTACTGCCACCACTGCTACTCCTACTATCACTACAACTGCTGTACATACATAGACGGGTGCTCCCATAGCACTGCTAAGCCTTGGAAAATGAATTTGCCTGATGATGGAGAGGGTGCATTATCTGGCGGTACAGTAGAGTGCGTGTGGCCCGAGCAGACTGGCTGTCTCTAGGCCTCCGAATAGGAGCGGCAGTCTCCTGGGTCCTGGTAGGAGAATGGGCTGAAGCTGCAGTCTAATTCATCACAGCTCCGTAGGAAACAAGCAATCGTGGGGAGGCTTTAAAAAAAAAAGGAAACTAGTGCAAAAGACACAACAGCTCTCACTGGGCCCGGGCAATTCCCCTGGTCACTGCAGTTGCCTGCCTGACTGTCAGCCTCCTCATGACTTAAATGCTGAGGCAGGGAGAGGAGAGGGAGCAGGAAGGAAGAGGGGAGGAAATTGTAGGTATAGAAGAAGAAAAGCAATTCCATATGGATATGTAGATGATATTACTCAGAGGTTTCAGTGTGTGATGTACAGCATATTTACAGCAGCATTAGCATGAATCATCGGCATATGTTATGTGTATACTGGATGTGATTGTTTACCCTATCTGGACCACCTCTCGCAGGGTTTTTTTTTTACCCAAGCACCAGATTGTGGGGATATGGCATGCTGGAGGGTTTCCGTGACAACCTGGGCTTTCTGTCCAATCAGGGCGAGGTTTTCCAGATTGAGAGGTGGTCCTCAGGGGAGCTGTACTTCAGCGAGCATGGATGCTTTGCCACGGAGCAGCCCTTTTAGAGAGACCATCACACAGTGAGAATCTGCTCAAAATGGGTACTTTGATGTTCCCGGCATAATTGGAAACACTTTCCAACAGAGGGTCCTTTTAAAATGCATTGAATGAGAAAGGACAGGGAGCATCCAATTTCAATTCCACTCATGAACCATCCTGCAGCTGCCTTTCAGGCGTGTACCATATATGTTATGACCCATCCATTTGTCAAACTGCCAACTGTTGTTATTTTGTCTTTTTTTATGATGTATAAAAGTAAGAGGCGTCTTTGTGTTTTTGCTACCTGCTCGTTCAAGCAAATCTCCCTCTGTAATCTCTGTCTTTTTAGTCCACATCTTTTTCTTCTCTCTCTCTCTCTCTCTCTCTCTCTCTCTCTCTCTCAGAAGTTGCATAGTGGTTTCATCATCTCGAGCAGTAGGAGCCAGCAGGGTATCGTACAAACACTACGGACAGGCTCATTTTTCACAGGTTGACTTCCCTCCTGCAATCCTGCAGGATGTGTCACGACAAACAGCGGATATGTGACAAACTCACATCGCACCCGTGTCCTTGCGTTAGAGAGGAGATGCAGTGTAGCTTGCGGAGCTTTGTGTGTTTGTGCAAGTGCGTGGGTGTCTGTGTAGATTTTCCTGTGCTGGGTTGCGTGCTAGTGTTTATAGGAAAGCTTGTCTATGTGTAAACTAACTATAAAACTACTGTTTTGTTGTATCCTGCAGAACTATGTAGATAGAGTTCTTATGATCCAGAAACAGTAAACCTTTATTCCCAGCAGGCCTCAGTTCTCCACCAGCCAACATCACCACCTCCGCCGTGCCCAGCATCGTAACGCCCATCGTCAACGGATTCACCGGCATCCCTCATCAGCCCAACGGACACCCTGCTGTGGAGACTGTGTACACCAACGGCCTGCCGCCCTACTCCACCCAGAGCCCCACCGCTGCTGACACCCTCCAGCAAGCCTTCACTGGAGTACAGCAATACACAGGTGTGAGACAGGAATGCTTTGTTTACTATGCTGTATTTCTGAGATTGTACAATATGCTGTAAATGCTAAATGTGTAGCAGCTATGAGACAATTACTGAAGGGTAACTACTGTATGAGTGAGAGGTTGTGTGTATTCAGATAGTGTAGGGCAGAACCTTAGAACATAACATCAGAGAGCCTTTGATTACACACATTACGCTTGTGTGATCGACCTTAAGCATCCTTGACACCATTCTCCGTGGGATCCCCGTTTTTAACGCTCGTCTCTCTCGTACTCTTTTCCCCTCCTTTCTCTCCCTCTCTCCACGTCTCTGCAGCAATCTACCCAGCCACCACGCTGACTCCCATTGGCCAGACACTGCCCCAACCACCCCAGGTCATCCAGCAGCAGCAGCAGAGAGAAGGTGAGGGTGAGAGAACATTATTACTTTTACACTTCACACATCTCATCCCATGTAATAGACACATAAAGAAGACAAGCATGAGAGACCAGTATTACTTCAGCAACGTACACACCTCATTCTGTGTAATACATATATAAAGAATGTGAGGACGAGAGAAGAATATTGCTGTAACACTGTACACATCTCTTTCTCTGTAACAGATAAACAGAGTGTAGCGGCTGAGAGAACATCTCATCTTAGATAATAGACATATAAAGCATGAGGATGACAGACCAATGTTAATATGACTATATCATACTGTACATCTTGAAAATAGGTTATATATTGTCTATATAGGCCCCTGCTTTCTATCATGAGTAACAATTTAAGCTTGTATAATAAAATCCTTAGCTGTGAGAATAGCCCAGATGGAATTAATAAATGAAATGAATGAAAATGCAGAATGTAAGGTTACGTGAAAATTGTGTCAGGTTACTTGAAGATAAAATACAGTGCAATATGATGATTTTCACTAACACCTACCTAACTGTGGTTCTTTTGGTACTGGATATGTCATGAAATTTGAAACATGAAAACAATACATGAAAGGTTTGATATTTGTTATTGTTTTTAGCTCTTTTTTATTAACTTAGGTGTGCCCAAGTAGGCTCAGACGCAAAAAAGAAAGTGGGGAGAGATTTAAAGGGGAGGGCAAAGGTTCCTTGGGCAAAATCCATCCGCCAGAACCTCAGCGCAGGTCATCCCATGGTCCAGTGAGAATCTGACAAATGAATATATAATGAATATAAGTATTATTCTTTTGCAGCACATTGATCACACCACATATAGCTTTTAGATTGGATAAATTTAGTCCTTCATATTCACATTCATTCTAAAAGGTTTGTTTGATAGAAATAGAAATTTTAAATGCACTCAATCAGTATCTTTACAGTATCAGCAAATCAAAGCAAAAACTCTTCAATTAGTTTTTGCGTGTAATGTGTATTACAGTTATGTTTTACCACTAACAATGTCACAGACAGTTCTGAAAATCTGTTTCCACTTCTCTTAATTTAGGCGACATGCAAGACTGCATAGATCAAAATGACAAACTCACAGCTGTCTCTCTCTCTCTCTCTGTCGCTCTCTCTCTGTATCCAGGTCCGGAGGGTTGTAACCTGTTCATCTACCACCTGCCACAAGAGTTTGGAGACAATGAACTCATGCAGATGTTTCTGCCCTTCGGCACCGTCATCTCCTCTAAGGTCTTCATGGACCGGGCAACCAACCAGAGCAAGTGCTTCGGTGAGATACTCACTGCCACTCACACACAGCTATCAAGTCTGCGACAAGCAGTATTGCTGTTGCATAAGATGGGACATTTACCTTTTTCTTTACCTTGTTACTGACTTATTCTTAGACAAAGCTTTGATAGGAGTGAAGGTATTATATTTTATTTGTTTAATTTGTTTAAATATTTTTGTAGCCATTGGAAAAACGATGCATTAATGGAACTATTATGATTTCTAATATGTAGAGAGAAATGCAAGGGGGAAATTATCTCACTGCCTATTTGAGTAAATACATTCAGGGGAAAGTGGATGGATGTTTACAGGAGCTCTTGCATAAAACAAAATGTGTTTTTACAGTCTGATCTCTTATAGCTTTTTCATTTGTGGGTGTTGTGTAAAAACTCACAGCTAAGGCGTGAAGCTTCATAGTTACATTTTCACAATAATAAGACGTTTTTACTTTCATACTGCACACCAAACAATAGACATTTGTTTAAACATAGTTTTTTAAGTGCTGTAGATTTTGACGATGTTTGACAGCACCCAGACAAAGGATTGGATGATCGTACCCCTGACTGACTGACCTGAATTTGCATCGTGTTTTGGCATCAGTGCTGTAGAAACAGAAATTTGCTGAATACATTGGAGCCAAACTTGCCATGATGCAGTCGATCAGAACCCATGTCCTTGCTTCTGTTAGGCAGCTGTGTGACCTGAAAACCTTGACATGCTGTATCAGCATCCACATCACCGCTCTGTAACCCCGATATCTGTCAATACCCTCACTGCTGAGGCTGATCCACACACCTCTACGCCTCCCGTCCCATTTAGCTCCGTCAGGCACACACACACCAAGCCCCAGGGCTTATACAAACTTTCAGAGGGGGGTGGCAAAGGACAATTATGGATCAGCATTTGTTTTCACTTCAGGGAACTCCAGAACCTTAGGCAAAATTGATCACCAGTCCTGTCTCCCTTGGGGGACTTAATAACGTATAAATTCATGAAAGAAGAGCTATTTGCAGTATTGACTTATACACTATGCATTTACAACATAATGTTAGGCCTGGGGAAAGTATGGAGCACACTGGTGTAATTAATCTAGAAAGGAGAAAGAGGAGATAAACCTAGATTGATGGTGTGCAAAAGACAGGGGGAAAAAAACAGAAAAAGAGAGACAGCACACTTGTAATGTGTGACAGGACTGAGCGGATGGCTTAGAGCTCTAAGCCTTGCATCTCCTCTCCATCTCATCTCCGCTCCCAGCCCGAATGTGTTAACCTGATGGCGGGTTAGGAGGTCACCTCTTTTCCCTGCCTCTATACTTTGACTTGCATTCAGACCTCCTCTGCGCTGCCCAGCCTTTGCCATAGTGGGCCAACCCAACAGCCAAGCAGGCCAGGCAGACATCTCTCCCAGGTGGCTGTGGACGTGGAGAGGCTCCTGCTGTTTTTCATGGGTCATCGGCTGTTCCTAATGACACCACAGACACAGGGGAGCACATCAAGCGGAGACACACTCCACTGCAGTTTCTGGTCACTGAATCCTCAAGGCTTTATTTTTACACATGATGAAAACAGGATGTTCAGCATAGGTTTGAGGAGGGGTGTATCTTGGGGAAATGCACTGGGGCTTTTTTGTGTTTGTGGCAGACTAGTCTCCTCGTGATGAACTATGTTTGCTCTTGTTTTTTGGAACTACTGTGCACTGTGACTTGTGCTCATTCAGTTTTGTATTTTGGGCTTTCTAGGGATGTCAGAAAGCTTTGTTGAAAATGATATTATTAAGTTAAAACCTGAAAATCTTCACAGGAATGACCTGATCAAAAAAATGATTGCCAATGGACTGGAATCTCATACTGATCACAGATTGTTATGTGTGTTATTAAACATTTTACAGACAGCACCTGCAGACCAAGTAAAAGACACATTTGCCCACTCGTGTGTCTTGCCCATGTTACCCGGATTGTTACTATTTTTTCCATTACAAACGTAACTGTATGGGATTAGGGATTCATAACATCATTTATATTTTACATCAAATCTTCCAAAATCAGCAGCCACCTTTCTTAACCTTGAAAATTCTGGATATGTCTTACTCCCTTACATGCCTTTCTGTGGTATCACAGGGCAGCTTGATATTACATCTCTTCCAGACAAAAACTGTCAACCGCAAGACATCGCAACAGTATTGCCTTATGACAGTAACACCCCCACACTTGTTGCATCTGGAGTCACACAGTGGACGTTTTTTTTATATTTTTTTTCTAGCTGTTGCAAATGTTGATGACAAGTTGTGCATCAACTGGTCAAAGTCCAATTCTAACACATTGGCGTACAGTGTGGTTTAAAAACAACTTCATAGCATACTGTCACATGCACTCGGCAGCCAAAAGGTGCTACCTGCCTCACCAACGCCATCTAGACTCCTTCAGGAGGTAGACAGGCCGTGATGATCAAGCAGTGAGAACACAGAGAGAGATTTCTTTATATTGCTCACCATTTTAAGAGCAGATTCCTCTGAATGCCAGCAGAGTAACATGCAGTAGATATCGCCTCTAAATAATTACTTTAATCCTTTAGCTTGTACTCATAAGTATCTTAATTCTCCACAGGGCTAATGCATTTGTACTTTTTTTACAGGCTTTGTGAGCTTCGACAACCCTGCTAGTGCACAGGCAGCTATTCAAGCCATGAATGGCTTTCAGATTGGGATGAAGAGGTTGAAAGTCCAGCTAAAGAGACCGAAGGATGCCAGCCGCCCTTACTGACACAGCCTACCTTCAGTATTCATTGCAGCAGCACAGGTGAGCCCACAGAGTGTCAAAGCCCCTGTCACCGATTCAAGATTTAGATCCTCAACATTGTTTCTGTTGAAGGGTTTACCTCTGGTTTAATAGTTGTAGAACATTTGGCCTGGCATGTTGAGCCTCAACTTGTAGTTTTCTTATCCATTTGACAGATCAGTATTAAATATTCTTTCTGATTGGTGAATGTAAGGCTAAATATTTTAATGTTCCTAGAGTTTTAGTATCTGCAGACGTGCAGAAACTAGGGTTGATTTCATATGCGAAACAGCAGGAGTATTAATTATGGGAAAAGCTGTCATCATCGTGATTGACAAAGACTGATTGGTGCGCCGGTGCGGGTTAGCTCTCTCCAGACCATTACACTGATATAATAGAGCCATATTGAACTATCCAAAATTTTAAGAAATGGATCTTTGGAATGACAGTTTAATGAGCAGTGTGATCTGAAATTGCCCTTTTCTTATATTTTTCAGGTTTTAGAGGACACGTGAAGATATCTCGGAGGAGTTAAACTTTTTTTCTTTGAAAGCAAAATATGTTTTAAAAAAATCGACACATACAGAATTTTTGAAGACATATCAGCATTTACTTATGAAGATATAGGTTATGGCAGAAAAAGAAGATAGAAGCGAAAGAGGAGGAGGCGCTTCACCGGGGGACATTAACAGTAACAGATGGCACAGTGCAAGGAAGACGAGAAGAAAAAAAACTGAAAAAAGATGTGATGAGACTGAACAACAGAACTTTTTCTTGTTGAGACTTGAATTGTTAATTAAGCAACAAACTAACAAACAAAAAAGCAGCAACAACAAATAGATTTCTATATACATATTATATACACATATATATAAGGAAAGAGGCGCTTGTGGCTTTTACTGTACTGGACAAATGAGGGTTAAAACTTGAAGATCAAGAAAACAGTGGAAAAAAGAAGCTATTCTATACGTCCACTGACAGACTTTCTTTCTCTTTCCCTCTTTCTCTTATTCTCTCACCGTCTCTCTCAGCAAGTGCAGAACTATGACTCTTGCAGGTCACTGAGGTTTCCATTAGCAACAGTAGAACTGCAAATCTTTCACCCCTAAGGGACCAAAGGACCAAACATTTTTATTGTTCTGAACAGTAATATATAGTATTAATGATACTAATACTGCAAACTACTACTAATAATATTACAAGTTAAACTTAAGAAGAAATACTAGCTTCAGGTTGAAAAAAAAAGAGGAACGTTTTGGTTTCTTTTCCTTTTACATTTATAGTTACTGGGTTTGAGGATATTAAAACAAAACAGAAAAAAAATTATTAAAAAAAACAAAGCTATACTATTTTAGTGGCGTAGAATATGTGGGTTAGACATTGATTCGGGCATGTTCAGATATGTTTTTTGGCATTCTTCACTGCTTCATCTGCATCACAGCATTTCATCTCCAAGGTGTGATCTGTCTGTGTTATTGTGTCGGTAAAAGAAAACAAGAAAAACAGTCCTGTAGTGCCAAAAGTGACACAATAACAGCCTCTTAAACCAAACACTACTGATCTACAGTGTATTTAGCCATGTCATGATGCCTTGTGTCCTTGTCAGCACATTGCAATTCCATAATTGAAGCGAGAGTAATTCCATGTTATCATTAAAGCCTTGATATTACAGATAATCTGACCATAAAGCACTGTGGTAAAAGTGCCACCCGGCTGAGCTGGATACGCAGCAGTAAAACAGCACAGCATCTGTAACTGCTTAATAAAATATACAAATGAGCCTGACAGCAGTTGTAAAAATTTCCATCGGCGTGTCACAGTGGTCCCTGCCGGGTCATGCCCTCTCCCGCTGCCAAGCTCCTCCAGCTGCTCTCAGCAGGCAAGAAGCAGACTCCCCTCCTCTTTCTCCTCCCCTCCCCTCACCTCCAAGTGCCAGCATCTCTCTCTCTCTTCTCTCTCTCTCTCTCTCTCTCTCTCTCTCTCTCTCTCTCTTTTCTCTCTCTCTTAATAGGGACCATCAGTTCACAGGGGCCAAGAGCTAACCCACAGCATAATTAGGATAATGATAATATTGATCAGATGAGGAGCAGCACCGCAGGGCAAGAGATGCACGATCAATTACACATTGGCATTTTGAATGAATTGACTGAGTGACAGAGTCTGTTTTTTCTCTCAGTTGTTAGATGGGTGTTTTCTCACTACTCCCTCTCACTACTACAGAGGGGATCCCGAAGCATACAGTTGCAGATTTTCCTGTGGGGCACTTGGAAGGGACTTAAATCTACGTCATGATCGCAAAGAAGCAAAAAGGTGCAGAGGTTTACATGGCTGTGACAGGACCTATATATAGAGTTTATTGTACAAGTTCTTCAGTGAAGAGCAGCTGTATTTTTTTCTTCAAAGGATATAATAGCACAGCAAGAGCTTGTACATGGTGAGTAACAGCCTGGCATTATCAGCCTTAGGAGGTCAAATTAAGAACAAAATGATCCATCAATTAGACAGCAGCAGGCATGTAAGTGTAGCCGCTACAGCTGCTGCTGTTTCCACAAGACGACAGCTAACCATTAGCGCCGGTCACACATGGCTCCTATACAGTGTGGTCACGACACATCACATGGTATCAGATATGATTAGTTAACCAAACTAGCATCATCTGCTTTTACAAAGAGACACGCGTACAGTGCATCTGAGATGAAATCTGTTATTTCATGAATTGTTTGCTTTTTACTGGATCGCCCTTTTTTTTCTCCATCCATTTCGCTCTCAAATTTGTTCAACTAACATCCACTCAGTTCATTTGAAATGTTTTTCCAACATGCGATTTATTGACTCGGTTTGCTCTGAAGCAGCTTGCCCCTCAGGACTCTGTGAGAACTCAGCGCTCTAAACTTTAAACACATCAGTGCTTCAGTCATCGAATCGCAATGCTGTCTCTATGGCCCCATCCACACATGTAGAGTCTTCACAAAACAGCACTACTATGCCTTTGTAGTCTGGTATAACAAATGTCATCACCAGAATGGCTTCCCAGGTCCTGATGCCAACTTTTATTTTCATTCTAGCCACTGTATTTGTATGATTATGCTTCACAGGATCAGTGTTACTAGAAAGGGGGGCGTTTCATTTCCAGGAGACCGTTAACAAATGTTGCCCTCAGTCACTGTATATTGTTGGGTTGCAGTCAACACTTAGAGGGTGTAGAAAGAAAGTCTTTAAAAATGCCTTTTCTCATCATGAATTGCCAAATTATGCAAACATATCCACTGCATTTCTTCATCAGACTTTAAATATATGCCAGATTCCTTGAACATTTAAGCTAGTTTCTTAGAAAGGTGTTAATTTTGAGGAAATAATGATTAGAAATATTTTATTTTGTGATGTACTGTAACGTAGGAGGAGGGTCAGTTCAGACTGTAATAGACATAGAATAGGGTTTTCCAGTGAAAAGGTTAGATTTCATATATGTTTGCCAGAAGACAGCTCATTTTCGCCCTGCTGAGTTACTGTTAGTTTCCTCTCTCCTGTCGGGGCCCAGCAGCTTTAGGAAGCTGTGATATATGCCGTCCTTTCCCCGGGCCAAACAGGGCCTTATAAACCCACTCAAAAATCTTTTCTTATGGGATTTCTACTGGAGAGTTTTTTAAATTATTAAAATCAAATTAAATTTGGCCTTCACAACAGCTTGGGTAATGCAAATTAAAGATGCCAGCTGTGGCTGAAATGTAATGAGTTTGAAAAGATGGTGAGTTAATTTCATTCTGCCAAGAAGGGGGAAAAATTTAATTTGATCGAACACAATTAAAACAGAGAAGGTTTGTGGACGGAGACAGTTTGCATCTAATGCATAAGCCTGAATATACTGTACATATCAATGAAATTCAGAAAAGGAAAAGGTAAGTAATGAAATCACTGAAACTCAAGAAGCTGTGAAGCTCACAAATACCAGAACTGACTGGAAATCCTCTACATCAGACAAAAAAATAGCAGCACTGATTCCAGTAGTGTTACAATTAAGCTGCATGTGGTCAAACTTAAGTTTATCTTCTACATTGTTTTCACTTTTGCATCCCGTTTTTTATCATTTTATTTTAACATTTGTCATCCTACCATGGTGCCCTTTCAATCTCTGAGCATGCTCAATGGGGGCTGGGAGGGTTAAAGATTATGATTATGGTACTACTTGTATTAACAATATGATTCTTTAACTATGGTTTGAATGCTAAGGATAGTAGCTTATTATAAATATGAAATCTGTATATTATGGAAAATCAGCACAGGACCTTTCTTTGGGTATATATAGGTTAGGGTTTGAAATGGGGGAGGGGTTGGGGGGGTCGCTTTATGAAGATGTTAACTTTCTGGTTTCTTAGCACAAAGCATACAAAAACATATGAACAGCAGTATGGAGTCTGTGAAGAAGACTGTACTGACATACAGGGCGCAAAAAGAGGAATCTCAGTACTATTCTTTAAACCTGGAGGAGAAAATGCAGGTTGTGTTGTTTTCCTTTCTTCTTTTTTTTTTTTCAAAGGAGAGCGCCACCTGTTTCTGTGGCAGCGTCAGTACAGCATGGATTAACTGACAGGGAAAGCAGTATCTTTTTATAAAAAAAACTTTTAAAAAAACTATGTGTTCTGTATTAGCCTGAGAAACCAAACATTTTTCCCCTGTTGAAATTTCTTAATACTTGCTGCTTAGATTACTTCATATTAATGATTGATGATTTAATAATTTTATAATTGATTATTGGGTCAAGTATGTAACTTGATGTTTATTTATTTATTTATCTATTTATTTATTTATTTATTTATTTATTTTATTTATTTATTTAGCCTCTTTTATTTTCTTTTATTTAATGATTATGGTAAGATAAAGATATGTATCAAAAGAAAATGCTTATTGGGGCTTTTCTCTCTTTCTCTCCTTTTTTTCCAATTTTACAATAAAAATTCAAACTGGACATTTTGTTTCTCACAGTTATGTTGAATGGGGTGCTCAACCCCAGTGCAAAGAGAGAGGGAGTTGTTGCACAAGTATTTACTCCCCTCCGCATCTCACGGACCTTGGACAATTGCAAGTGCAGGTGTTGCAGCCTCACCTTTCCACACCTGGAGTCTGTCACTGATGCCTAATCCGTTTTAAGCAATGCAACTGATAATGGTGCCCTTTAAAGGATAACCGGGTTCCTGCTGCACATCCACAGCTTGAACTTTTTTAAACATTTTATTTTTCATATGAGGCCATTTCTGTTGCTCTCACACTAGGCAGGAGTCTGCTTTGGAATTCATCACAAAACGCTGGAAGCCTCAGAAGAAGAAATGTACCAATTTCAGACTGATGTGGAAACTCAGCGGTGCAGTATGTAGGATGGTTTGGACTATCTGTCATTGTGGAGACTGGAGGCTTTCCAAGTTAGCAGGTCACCTGACACTGCTCTGTTGCAGGGAGACACACTACAACTGAAATATGTGTCAGGGAACAGAATTCAAAAACCAAACACTGGCTCATAAACATCAGGGGTGGGGGGTATGGAAGCAAAAGAAGGGAAGAAATAACATTATTATTTTGACAAGCAGGAAGCAGTAAATTGAAATTGAAAAGGAAGGCATCGGGTATCAGTCAAGTTTCCATACAGTAGCTACAGCATTGCTTTGATGCTATAAGCCAAAATAAGATGCAACATCTGCCGGCAGTTGAATGTCCACATACACCTTTCAATCATCAACTTCATACATCAAAAGTCAGTGCAACATCACAAGCGGTACAGCTGAGACACTACATTCACATTTTGAACAGCAGCAACTAGTGGTGGAAGAAGTATCAAATATTAAAACATACTTGTTCTTCGAATAATATATTATTATATACAATTTTTAGATTAGGCATACTGATGAGATAGCTAGTCTAGTCCATTGGTTCCCAAGCAAGTGGTCAGGCCAACTCAAAGAGCCACAAAATAAATCTGAGAGAAGAAGAAAAAATTAAGTTCTGCTACACACATTTCTATTACTACTTTGGACTTCTCTCTAATTTTTAGTCAAATGTTGGATCATTTGATCTCTTTGGGTTTTGAACAGTTATTTAAACGAAACCGTCTGAAAGGTTTAGAGGGGAAAAGTTCCATCAACAACTCAGACATCTTGAGACATGACAATGGGGCAGCTGGTTTAATCTCAACCTATAGAATGGGTACTGCTGATCATGTGTGGGTTTTTTTATGTCAGATCTTAATTTGGAAAGTAACTACAGCTGTCCGACAAATGTAGTGGAGTAGAAAATACTGTATTTCCCTCTGAAATAGTGGAGTAAAAGTATAAAGTACCACAAAATGGAAATACTGAAGTACAATTACCTTAAGTATAGTATTTAAGTAAACGTACTTAGTTACTTTCAACCACTGGCAGTGACAGATATGAAGGTAAAAAAGGATAAAAAATGAAAAAAACACAAAAAAAGTAGAGCCACTGGCTCATGAAATAAATTGTCCCAATTACAATAAAGTGTGGCTCTTGGTCAGTGTGCACGGCAGGCAGTTCATCTTTATTACAATCAGTTAATGAAAATCAATCCCCCTCCTGATAAACTCTTATCTGCACGGCCTTTGCGCGCCCCTCGTGCAGGGAGATAATAAATTAGGGTAATATTGCCTTTGATGAGGGAGTGAATTGCAAATTATTGTAACTTTCTAAGATTTATGATGCAGATGCTTAATTTCCGAGCTGGGTTTTTCGGGGCGTCAGGGTGCCGGAGGGCCATTTGTTAAAAGTTTGGTGACACAGGCTCGTTAATAAAAATACACACTCAGACAACCAGGTGTTCTCAGCTGTTCTCTACTGTTACAGTAGCAGAGAGAGTGCTGCTGAAATGGCAGGAACTCCTGGCTTGTAGGATTTGCAGGCCATGTTTTCCGTAGACGTGGTGTTTTACCTATAACAGAGAAAACATATGACGAGGTCCAAACCCGGTGCATGCAACCTGTTTACTAAAGTAGGACTGCCAATCATACAGTGTTATTTTTTTACCACCCTCCCACCTCCGAATCTCTATCACACACGCCAGGAGCGTATGATTTGATATGTAGGTCAATACCCATTCTGCCGTAAGCCAGTGGGTGAGATATGTCTAGTTGCTCGCTGTCACTCTGATTATTGAGGAGACACAGAAAGATTGAGTTGGTCAGGTATGAGAGAGCCTGCGGAACGAGATAGCTGTGTAATCGCTGTGACTAGAGCAGTCTAAAAACACACACACACACACACACACACACACACACACACACACACACACACACACACTCACTGAGAAATTAGTAACTTCTCCCTCTGTTCTGCAGCAGTGACCCATGTAACAGGGTGTTAATGTACGTGTATGTTGGACGTCTTCTGCTCAGTGCAACAATCAGACTCTGAGTGCATCATTAAGCAGAATGCCTCGGCGAGAGAAGGTTAGAGGGTCTTACGAGTCACCGGGAACTGCAGGAACGATGGGAGACAGTCGTTTACTTGTGAAACGGCAGGCAAACGGGCTCTCACGAGAGTGGCTGAATTAGTTTACAACTATGGCTGACCAACATCACCATGCATCGTTTAGAATGAATAAATCAAAAGTCTCAACAGCTAAAGATTTGATGCTCATGTAAGATCCACACATGCTAGAATCACTAACCATCCTCTACTAGATCTGTTATTATCATGTAACATGCATCTGAGGCCTCTATTACCCTCTCTAACTTGAGGTAGTATGGCACCTTAAATGTCAATATCAAAGTGATTGTAAGCCCCATAATTCTGTGAACACTTCAACTCGTGGTCTCCCCTCATCAAGGCCACCTCATTTAAGTTTAAGGAACATCTTGCGTTAAGACAGCCATCAATCTATCCAGTATCAATCAAGGAGAGGACTCACACACCACTATCTATTTATCTTGCCAAGTGCTCTATTAATATCAAATTAATTTCCCCATTGAGAGTATCAATCACTTAATCATTTTTTTTCTCCACTCATTAGCTTGGTAATTGTCCTTGTTTACGGGAGAAAGTCAAGACAGGATGGCTCGAAGAGGGTGGACGAGCAGTCTATACAGGCTTGAGCAGTTTTCTGCAAACCTACATCCTCCCTGCTAATACAAGGACGGGACTCCTCTTCAGTCTATCAGGGGTTGACTCTGGAAGATTTTACATATTTTTCATTTCCAGTAGAAGTTTTCACTGTCAATCTACATTTTTTTAACCCTCAAAAAAGGAGCTCCCAAATTGTTGATGTTCAGAAGTTGTCAAGAATCTCTCTCTCACACTCACACTCACACACGCACACACACACACACACACACACACACACACACACACACAGGGTGTATATAAGGCTGGTGCTGCCTGACAGTGCTGTCAAATGGCTGCATCTCAACAGATGACATCAATCAAGACAAGGCCTGCAGCTTTTTATTTTATGTTTTTAATCTATGTTTAAAATTAAAAAGCAACACAGCTTACATGCCACCAGCTCACTTTACAACTTAACAATTAAGAGTCATGTAGTTAGATAAAAGATAATATGGTGAACCCAGGGGTGGAAGATATTTTCAAATCATTTATTTACGTAATAGGACCAATTCAACAATGTAAAAAAGTATCAAAAGATAAAATGTCGCTTGATATTTATGACAGTATTAGATTGTTCATACTGATGTATCGATGTGAAAGCAGTAGTTTACTTTTGTAGCTGCTTGAGGTGGAACAAGTTTTAACTCTATATGCAACTAGTTTAGTCCGGTGGTTCCCAACATAGGGGTTGGGTCCCTCCAAAGGTTCACAAGATCAATCAAAGGGGTCATGAGATGGTTAATGGGGAGAGGAACGAAGAAAAGTTCTGCTACATGTTTTCTTTTTACACTTTGATGATGTTGAATAATTTCACCTCTTTGGCTGTTGAACATGACAGGGTCCCCAACTGAACACTGCTGCTTTGAAAGGAGTCACAATGTTTGGGAACCCCTGATTAAATTTTTAAAAATGTATTGTATTTTATAAGCGCATCTTACGTTTTTTAATGGAAAATCATAATCTGAAAAGGAATTATATTTGAAATAAATGTTGTAGAGTAAAAACATATTTGCCATATTTGCCTGAAATGCAGTGGAGTAAAAGTAAAAAGTAGCATGAAATGGAAAGTACAAGTACACAGAAAGTGTACTTAAATAAAGCACTTGAGCATGTGTACTTTCCACCACTAACTGTGTCACCAAGACAAGATTTTTTACCACCAAGGAAGACTTGATTTAAACCAGGAATGTGCTTCACATATAATGGGAGAAAATGGTAACATGTTCCTCCAGCTCCTTCCCAACCACGCAGATCACTGCGGTGTTGTCTTTATTTGAAGAAATGGGACATGGAGAGATTAAGTATGATTGCATGTGTGATGAAACATGCTGTCAACCAGAGAAATGTAAGGACCGAGATACCTTTAACTTAATACAAGATTACATGAAATCTACAGCTATAATTATAGAGCATTAATTCTTAATGGCTTCATAAGAAGTGTGCAGGAGCTTTCTTAATTGCATTCTTGATGGCGATAAAACCTGATCACATCCCTCTTTCTAATCGTAGCACTCATTGTTCACATATAGTGCAAATATCAGCAGCATGTGTGTGTGTGTGTGTTGACTCTAACCTGGTGTTAACCACGGACTAAATCCTATTTGGAGCCATGCAGCGCTCTGGCAGACAAAAGCAAAGCCAGCAGCCAGCTCAGCACTCAGAGGTAACATTTGCACAGGGGACTGAGAACATACTGTGGATCCCTACAGCTACACAGCCAGCTTGTCAAAATTGTCTTTATACTATGAGCTGTCGGGCCTTGTGGACTGAGGACCCCAGCAGGACAGAAGCAGTATTACAAGCACAGTTAGAAATGGAAACGCAGCATTGAATAGTGTCTTGACCCAGAAACAGTAAATGTGTTTCCATATTAATGCTATGCAATGCAGTGATGTGATGGAATGAACGTCTGTTCTCTGGACAAGATACCAGTATAAGAGAAAGAAAGAAAGAAAAAAAAAAAAAAGGATAAGCCAGCCTTGTTCTGGAGTGTCCAACACTTTAATACAGAAACTTACAGATATAGCACAACACATTTTAGTTTACTCTTGTTACAATGTCTCAAAATAACCTACTAAACACAACAAATGTAAAACATATTACAGTTAAAAGTAAACATCTATACACAGGCAAATGTACACAATATAAAACACATATATACACTCTTTTAATATATTATTATATAAAGATTTGTTTGTTTGTTTTTTACTTTTAAAACTGGAAGACAAACAGCTTGAAGAGGGAGTGTTTCACAGAAGATGGGAACTGGGAGAACTGTTAAAATATCACTCTGACACATTATTGAATAGGTAGTTTTTACATAGAGTTGTTGGATCCTGTGTATTTAGCATGGCGATTTCTGAAATAGCAGTTGAAAAAGACAAAGAAATAACACTTAAATACACAAAACTTGTTGTTAAAACCGTTAAGTGCTATTGATATTCCTGGACTATACAGGTCCTAGAAGCCACATTGCATAAAAACAGCTTACATACATAGAGTTATATGGATATTCATACATGGTGGTGTGTTTGGATGTTGTGCATTTTCTCAGTAAAAACAAAATATTTACAAATAAAAAAAACAAATTATTGTTCAGCTGCCTTGATGGTGGCACACACAATTATGAGTTTAACCTTGAGACCAATTAAAAGTGGTCAACATGTTGACCCCAAACTACATGGTTGTATGTTTTTCTTCAAATTATGTGACTTGTGTATGAATCCACAGTAATGGTAAGCCATCTTCATGATAGTGAAATCCTTCAAATTACAAAAAAAGAAAAAAATCGCAACATTCAGTCCCCCCCCCCCTCCAAAAAAAACAACAACTTACAAATTCATACGTCTGAGCTCTAGTCACTCTTTCCTCAAGCAGGTAATGCTTCCACATTATGTTTGTCTCCATGTTTTTCTTTTTAAAAATCATTTATATTCATTTTTATTTCACAAAAGCAGCAGAAGGAGGAGTAGGAGTGAGAGCAGGCAGCTGTTGGCTGCTGCTGCAGTCGACGTGTGCGTCACCCCTTGGTTGAAAACGTGAGGAGTCCTCGGGGAATTCTGCTTCAGTTTACTGGGCGGCAGCGCCTTTAAATCCTCCAGGGCGCCGTAGGCTGCCATAGAGAACTCAGGGTCTCCTGTGGTCAGCAAATCAAACACACAGGACTGAAAGTACACGTCCTCCACCTGCAGAGTCTCTCTACACTTGGCCGTGGCTCGCTCCACCGTGTAGACCTGGTGAGGAGGCCGCAGAGGACCAAGCTCTGTGTTGGTGCCCTGAAGGCGGGGCTGCTGGTTCTGACGGCCCAGCGTGTGCTCTTTAATGAGCTCGTTACGTGGGCAGCCGTGCAGGCAGAGCTGCAGGCCGCCATTGTCCTCCGAAAAATCCAGGGTGTCTTCTGGCATGCGGATGGCAAAGGTCAGGTAGCTGCCCACACGCCGGACAATGATGGAAGTGCCGATGTAACGTGCCTGTATCTTCACCTGCCGGCCCACTCCAGAGCCACCGCGCTCTACGATCGTCAGGCTGCTGCTCTCACCGCCACTGCGAGTCCCATCCTGAAAGGCCAATGGCAGATCTTCTGTGGTAGCCTGGTACACCTTCTGATCTGTGCAGCCGTGGTAGGATTTAAAGATCACTGTGATCTGAAATGAGGGGAAAACGTAAGATCAGTATTTATATATAATATCACAGCATTATACAATACTAAATGTTATTTTATGTCATAGTTTGAATATTCTTCCTTACAACTGGTAAATAAACTTCAAGGCCCAAATTAATCTTAAATAAGAGCAGTACCAGATCACACCACATGGTGGCAGCAGGAAACTGCTGGAGGGTGTTGATGGTCCACACCAGACTTTTTACACAGTGACAGTATTTCCTCCCTAATGCCAATTCATGATTATGACAAAATGTTTGGATCGTTGTCAATGATCTGCTGTATTGTTATCACCCAAAGAGATAACTGTTCAAATAAACCACAAATACAATCACTTCACTGGCACCTCTCCTTTCTTATATAAAACAAAATTTCTCGCACTAAAAAGAATAACTCCTCTAGTCTTCCCTAAATTTTGGCTCAAATAACACACTTTCATAACAGCCTCAAATCTCCATGTATCTTCCAACACTCCTCCTATGCTGGCACTGCTAGTGCTTGCTCGATGACTGATTGTATTCCAGCTGAGCTTTGAAAATTGGGGCCTAACCTCTGTTTCTTCAAAGTATCTTGATAGAGCAGTGGCTGTGGTTAGGTTTACACTTACAGGGATACTGTATGATGGATGTATTTCATGGATGATTTCCTGTCTTAAGTCTGGCAGTTGAAAACAACTCCAAAAGCATGAATAGGGGCATGCGGGTGCTGGCACAGACATACCCACACTACAGGTTTGCATTAGTCTGTGCACCCAGAACACATTGCAATTGCCTTTGATAAGGGTTTATTCAGAAAACTCTGATGCAAAATCAGCCTACTTCATTAACAGAATCAAAAGCCCTTTTTGCCGTCCAATTATTCCTTTATTTTTCCACATTATTCCATATTTACACAAAAAGCACCCAGTTAATTATTTGACCAGAGGGGTGAAAAAACATTCCAGATTGTGGCGGTGGAAGAAAATGTTTGAGTGAGCGTTAATCACTACCATATGACCACCCATGTGTTAAAGGTAGAGCGCTCAAGCATGTCTGTGATTCAACACCACTGAAGGACTCCCCTCCTCTCTCTTTTCCCCTCATAGATCTGAAGGAGCTCCAAGACAAGAGGAATGCTGGAGGCTCGAGAGGCACCGTGGAATGACGATTAACTTCACATGTTTGATACTTTATGGCAATACTTGAGCTAGCAAGCCAGCACTCAAAAACAGTCTGCTGATATAGGCCATTTGTTTCAGACTTGCTATAATCAGAGAGTTCATTTCTAATATGGACGTATGTGGTTGTCGTGAGAAAAGCAATGCTCCCCCCCAGGGAGTCGCAAAATAGATCTGAGGAGCTGTGATTTGGTTGATTTTTGCCAGATTTTTTTCTTGTGAAATCTTGAATGGATTTACCTACTCAGGCCTCTAAACTGTGTTCAAATGAAACAATGTAAGAAAAGAAAATCAAAAGACATATGCACAATGTGAGAGGTAGCCAGTACACACTACTTCATTTTAAGGGGTCAAAAATGTCGGGGACCACTGCTTTACAGCAGGGCTGAAACTAATGATTAATTAGTCTGTCAATTATTTTGACAATTTTACTTGTTTTTTTTAAATGTAAATTTCTCAGAGCCCAGAGCTCACTTTGCTTGTTTTTTTTCTGACCAACAGTCCAAAAGTTAAAGATTTTTAATTTGCTGTCACATGTGAAAAAGAATATTATCAAAGCTTCACATTTTGGAATCAGAAACCAGAGAAAAGTTGGTATTTGGATGGTTTGGAAAACGTCGACTATCAAAATAGTTGTCGACTAATTTCCTGTCACCCGACTCATCGTTGCAATCTACTCTAAAACCATTCTTACCTTGCTGGTTGCTGTGGCGCTAGAGCCTAGGACGACAGGCACGTTGGTCACCTGCACAGACAGGAAGCGGTTGTCAATCAGAGGCCACGCCCCTTCCACCTTGCAGGTCTGAAACTCGTCCCGGAAAGTCCGAAGGTGCGGGTCTCCGAATAATCCACAGTGGGCGTATTTCTTCTGCTGACCTGGCGAGCCCGACATCAGGACCCGGTTCTCGTAGTCGCACAGCTCTGATACGGCCGGGCGAAATGTACTGGGTACCTTAGCGGAAGAGGTGGGCCCATCGCTGGAGCAGTTATGCAGAGAGAATAACTCCTTAATGCGGAAGACGGCCGAGTGGTAGACCAGGTCACCCCTACAGCTGCGTGCCTGCCGCCGTGTGCACAGAGCATAGGCCCGCAAGGCGATGCAGTAGTCCACATCCATAGCCACGTCCTCCTGCAGACCACTAGAGGGTGAGGTAGAAGCCACATACTCTGCATTGCAGCGCTGGATCCGACACTGCTGACAGTGAGCTGGAAGACAAAAACAATGACCATCAGCATTTTGTACTGCAATGTCATTAATGCATCACACTTATTGTGAAAATGTTTGCTTCTCTACTTCATCATTAACCTCCCTCTCTGCAAAAATGATGCGGAATAGATTTACCAATCTGAACAAAAAATATAGTTTACTCCCCAAAAAAATCTTAAAATCCATCTGACATTTACAGATACATTACCTCAGCACAGCACACAAGGCTACAGAGTCAAAACTTTTCCACTATCAAGTTTAGCTCAATCAGGAGAGCCATTAAAACCCAAATGCATGAGCTCACAAGGCCATGATCCCACACTGTGCCCTGGAGTCAGTCAAAACTTATTTCCCCTAACTAGCCCTCACAGAAATAGCATGTAACCTCGCTGTAGGAGGAAACCAACCTGTGTTAGTTTGCCTGAGGGTGTTGAATGTGGTTTGGCTGTTGCTGAGGTAAGTGAAGTGCATAAAGCTACGCTACACAGCGCGGCAGGACTCAGTGTATGGAGCAGCTAACTCGAAGGGGATCACAAGAGGAATATCAAAAAGTGTCACACTTGTTCAGAAACTCAGGGTTCAAACTGGAAGCACAGCATGTGATATATAGGAGGTATCGCCAAAATTCAGGGCTTCCTGAAGGGCTTATGACTCACAAGTGGGATGTTTATTACCAAGGAAAACAAATAACCAACTATTTCTGTAGGAAGCAAAAGTGTGGATGTTCATCAAGTTCATGTCAGCGCTGTGTTACTTTTGGGTGGGGTGTCTCAGATGCTGAATGGGATATTAACTCGTGCTGCATTGTGGATTTTTTTTCCCCATTTTTAGATCGGATCAGCCACCATCCACAACACGTACGTCACTTTTACTGCAAAACCGGGATCAGTTGCAACAGACTGCTCCTCTATTGCAACAGAATAATCTTCCGTTTACTCCCCAAAAGCTCCATCTAATCTCCCCACAGCCTGGAGAAAGACAACAAGATAAGCACGGAGATTTCGCACCAGTGCACATGAATATTCTTCCCGTTCACATACGTCTGACGGGGCATGACAGGTGATTAATGCATATCACAGCCGCTGCACTTCCACACGAGCACTGATAAAAACTGAGAGAGTGTGAGAGGTCAAGTTAAGAGACATTCTGCATCCCTCCTCTGAATTCCAACAGGCCTCTCCTGTCTCGCTGCGAGGTCACCCAAGTCCACTGTGATTGACACTTTTTGACAATCACTGCCTGCACAGCCATCAACAACTATGCATCTCCCTAAAGGGTCTTTACGCTTCAGCACTTCGTAGGCTACCAACAAGCGTGAGGACCATGTGGGATATATGAGAACAGAAAAGGAAAAAGCAAAATGACCACACAAGCAGTATTTATATTAGTATATTAAAGATTAACATATTTTAGTTAGAGCTGGAGATGAAGACACTACTTTTTAATGGCATGGGCCTGGTCTTTAGGCTGCAGAATAACAGCAGTTAAATACTCAACATTTTCACCAACAGAATAGATGGTTTTAAATGTTGGATAAACAATTTAAAAAAAACCCCAGATATTTAGATTAAGTAAACTTAAATACTTAAATTTTTCGAAAAATTACAGTACAGCTGGACAATGGTATATTTTAATGACATATTTAATAAATAACCTACATTGAAATGTCTAAATGCATTTCAGCAACTATGTTTGCATATTTTGACAACTTTTTAAAAAGGCATTTAGGTGCTACATCCAGTTAGCACAGGTGCTGGACAATAATTCAATATTATTGTTTATCATCTTTACACAAAATTGTATCAAGATTTAATTTGCAGTGTTCATGTCTAAATAAAAAACATTATATTCTATATTCATATTATGTTATATTCTGTCACCTGGAAATCTTAAATGCCTGTGATTTTGAACATCTAAAACTAAAATATCCATATAAAAATAATGCTGGTTTAATTATTGGGTATTATTAATGTCTATATTGCCAGGAGACAGGAGATTGCTATTTGAGAATAGTTTTACCGATCCCCCAACAGAGTTGACACATGTTGAAGTTTATCTAAACATCGCCATCAGTTGAAAACAAATCTGCTTCATAAAACAATCAACTCAAAATGTGGGTCCCGACGGTCTCAGTTTGCCATAAACACAAGATCGAGAAAACGCCTTAAGATGTGAAATATGACATAAATCAACTTCATAATCAGAACAAAACACGCTCCTGAGTTTGTCACAGTGGTTTCTGACATGTGGCTGCGGTAGAGGAGCGAGCAACACGTTCAGAGGCCAAAAAGTTGTACCCCCATGCATGGCAGCTAACAAAGTTAATAAATGAAGCATGAATAGTGGAAAATACCAAGCCTCGCGTAGCTTCGCCACCTGCTCGAAACTAGGAGTTAAAGTTAAATCCTGTCTTGAATAACAATGGTGACCGTTTATTGTCCGATTAGCGGTATTTTCTGATTTAAAAAAACAAGCTCCCTGGTTTTCTTTTGGTCTGACTGCGGGTGCTGGACACCAGATGCTAGTGAGCTATGCTAACTGGAGGCTAAGCCGTAACTTCTCACAACTTGGTAAAACCTTATAACAGCAGCAGTACTTGTCTTTAGAAAAAACGCGATAACTGTTACACGGTTGGTGACAAATAGTTTGGTGGCGTTGTTTTACGCGAGCATCGCTTGAAATGTGCCCGAAAACAACTCCGTAAAGTGAGTTAACTCGTGCTGCTCGGCTAGCAGCGATGCAAGTGTTGCAGCGCAGGCTGGAGGGGCTGGGATAACGTTACTCCACAGCAACAGGGCATTATTTTGTCCCCGCAGTGGATGAGATACTTTGAAAAAAGGCGACTTTTCTCCTTCTTCAAACACCAGAAACACTCTTAGCTAAGCGTGTGTGTGTGTAACGTTAATTTATGAGAGAAACGTTTAAAGTCGTTAAAGAGTTTGAGTTCAGCCACACGACGCCAGGGAAAAGTTAACTTTTTTCATCTCCACCTCCATTCCGGGGAGAGCGGGACACATCTTGCATGCAGGAGAGGAGTGGAGGAGCACGGATTGGGAAAAATCACCACTTACCTGGTCGAAACAGCAGCGAAAGTAAAACCATCATCAACGTTACACAGTCCCAAAGCTGCCGCTTAGCCGTGATTTGTGGTCCGCTTCTCCCCATACCAATCCATTCAGTTAGAATGGAGTTCCTCGACTGCTTCTCATCGACACTGTGGCTGCGGGAAATCAGACAAAATTTCGTCTTCCTTCCCAAGCGCTGTCATTCAAAAGGGGCCCCTGTCTTCAGGGCGGCTCTACGAGGGAGGGGTCTAAAGTGTAGACGGGGCCCAGAGGTGATTGCTGGCCAATGAAAGACTAATTATTCACTAACCACTTGATATTTACATGTAGTGACAATTACTGGGGATGAGGACAGTGGAAAAGCGCCTTCAACAACAGAGGGGGCGGTGTGAAATTATAATTGCCCTGATTACAATTGAAAAATCACAGGGCGCTGTGGTTATAATAGTTTTACAACTGCTTACTATTTGTAGATATAGGCCTACAAGTGTCCATGCTAATGGTAAAACTTGGGTCCATTCAGAAGTGACAAGTAATACAACTTTTCTCATGCACTGAAACAGACTAGTAGAAATTTAAACTCAAAGCACCAGGGGGCAACTGTCTTGTTTGACTCCCCCTCCTGCTGAGGACAAATGTTTGTGTGTTTTCAGCATCAGGCAGGTTTCTCCCACCTGTTGTTTTCTTACTCCAGACTTACAGCTTAAATAACAAAGTTTGATTGACAATTGCGTGTGCAAACTAACATATTACATTTTGTTTAGTCTGTCTAGTGAATATTTTAAATATAGCGCCTGATAAATGCATCACAGGCACACTATCCTGAAATTACTGACTGAAGAGGAATGACTGACGCTAAAGAGAAATATAGCTTTAGCCTATATGACATGGCATTTTCTCCATTACAATGAGGGTTAGGGTCAAAGGGTCTGTTTTTGTCACTTGAGAAAAGTCAGAGAAAACACCCTGACTCGATGATTTTCTCTCAGCAAATCTCTGTGTGCTATTCATTTTTCCATTACATTTTCAGTTAGCAACTTGCATGTTACTATTTTCCTTTTGTGGCCAACTTTCCATCTCTCTCTCACTCCTTCAACGACACTCCGTCTTTCATTTGCACAGCTGCTGTGAGGCTGGACCATCTGCAAGGCACGTAGACACACCAGCTTTCAGCCTTCGCCCCAGATACACTCTGTGGTTTTTGTGCCATGCAAATAAAGAATTTTAATGCACTAACCAATTACATGATAAAATATTGGAATTAAGGAAATCAACAGTCAAAAAGTAAGCGTACTTTCGAGAATTAAATTAAAAGTTAAAGCTTTGTTTTGGTGCAGCTGGAACATTTGGCTTGTAGCTGTGGGTCTCCCTCTGTGCCTCCCTTCTGACTTTATGAGAGAGAAGTGAACCCAGACAGTTATTGGATCACTGGTTTTTCTATACACATGCAGGCTCCTCCGGCCACACAATTGTGTGATTCAGGTGGCCTGTCAGTCTTGTGAAAGGTCTTCACAGGCCCATGTTGATGTGGGGCTGATATATATAGTGGACGGGGAAACGAAGACAGCTCAACCCAAGTGGAACGTTTGGATTGTTCTGAGCTGCCAGAAGGGCCCCTGTCACACTGGATCCAGTGTGCCAAGTTTACTTACTCTGTTTGTTCAGCTAATTTTTGCTTGATCTGCTTTATGGTTGTGTATTATGGGCATTTTAAACAGGTTACACGTCGTATTCCCCGTGACACGAGGCAGTGACGCAGTGTAAGAGTATATCTGTTGATGCCGTGGATATACTGTGCAGCAAATTAAACTGAAATTCCTGTAGGACATGTCTCACCTGTCACAGTGCTTTTCTTCTGGAGCAAGTGATGGCATTTCCTGCGGGAGAAAACACATTGTTTACTTCAATTCAGGTGAAAATGAGAAAATGCTAAGTTTTAGTAGTAAATAATAGTAGTAATAATAAATAATAGTAAATAATCCATCTGCATACCTAATGTATGTTACATACCAATAAAAGACAACAACACTATCAAAGCCATAGTTTTTCTCAGTGATCTGCTGTCTAATAAATGCGCTGAGGTTCCACACTGCGGGACTGATGACCACTGAAGCAAACAGTTAATTGATCCAGGTGGACGGTAAGGATGAATTCAGCACATGAAAGAAACTCCGAGACCGCCTGTCAGGCATGATGGGCGGAGAAAGACTTCTTTCTTCCCACATTTCCTTATGAGCGTATTGCATTGCATGACCCAGCAATATGTATATAACAGCTCAACGCTCAAGCAAGTTGGAGAGAGTGGGTCAACTACAAGTACATATATCAGGTAAAAATAAGGCCGGTATATTTCTCCTGCTGACAGTGGGTCACTTGTTCTGGTACAATAGGGGGGTAAAAAGCCTAAAGAGGCAGTTTGTATGGTCAAAGTTTTTTGAGTTTAGGACAAACATTAAGAAAATCTGACAGAGACACATACAAGAACAGAGGACCTAAAAGCAGTGCTACTTAATAAAAAGCTTCAGACATAGCGGCAGAAAACGTGGAGAGTGAAGCGAAAGAGAGTGAGGAAGGAAGAATGGGAGTATGGGGGGAAGGGAGAAAGAAGGGGGAGGAAAAGGGGGAGTGAGGGATTGGGTTTCCTCTGACTGTGTGTCTGGGCAGCTCCACATGTTCCTCGTTAAGGTCCTCACACTGTGGGACCAGCTCCACACCGGGATGCTTGTTTTTGTTATTAGGCCCAATGTGCTGCGGTCTGGTGGAAGCCCGAAAACAGGGCCAGTCCAGGACCATCTCCTCAGCTCGCTGTCCTCAAACCAAAGAAAAAATAACTGCAGTGGCCTCACATATCTACACCGCAACATGGTCAACATATATGCTCTTCTGTAACCTGCTGGTAAAGCCTTTAAAGACACATGGAACTGGAAAATTCAAATCATTTCAAATCTAGTCTGATACATATAAATTATGCATCTGTGCTGCACTTTTTTTAACCTGTAAATACAACGCTGCTTAACCATCTGTTCGCTTTGCCTATTAACAGGGCCTTTAAACCTTAAACAATTTAGTTTTTTTTCTAGATGTTTACAAAACAATAAAAAGTACAGTTGCAGGAAATGGTTTATGTTTCATGCTTCTGATTTTTGTTAAATTTCATACCCATCTAGATTTGTCAACTGAGACATGTATCATGTTTCTTCTAGAGGCTGATAACATCAGAGATTGGAATCAGAAGGAGCACACGCCCTCTGTGGCCTCCGCTTGCACCACACGGTTGCAATATAAGAGACACACTTATTGAATTTTAAACAGGAACCAGAGCAAATTGACTGGGTTTTTTTGTTGTTTTTTTTTCTGAGGGCCTCTGTCCCGAAATGAAGTGGCCTATAGCACAGCTGAGACAGAGATGGAGAGAGATGCAGAAAGTGAGTGTGTCTGTTTCAGGCCTCTCGCTGTTAGAGGGGATCTGTTATCTCAGCGGAGATAAGGGAAACTGTGGTGTGAGTGTATACGGGGCAGGGCTGATAGCATCTCCACTCAAGGATCACACTTACGGCACCCTGATTGATAGCTGACAGCACACACAGGGGGAGCTTTTGGAGTGTTTTTGTAGCTATCCCTCAATAGGTCTCCATGCAGGCGTCTGTTTACTGTTCTTTGGATCTTTGCCTCTGAGTAAACAGGAATGATCACACATGCATTGTATCTGTTTATAAAGTCTCTACCTGAAATCAATGTGTGAAAACAAAGGAAAATATATTTTTATTCATTGATTTCAATATAAAATGAACTTTTGAACTCACTCTGCCTATTCTGTTACTTTGGTTCTTCACCACACTGAACCAAACTCCTCTCAACTTCCTCCCTCCTTTCTCACAGAACAAATGTTGACAAAGCATCAAGCCCAGCACTCATGAATAGACAGTCAACTGACAGGTAACCCTAGCCCCAGGGTCGTGGGGTCACCCCGGCCTGATGAGGGATGATGGGTAAAATAAATGGAGAGCAGTACACAGAGGGACTTCTGATGTCCTCAGCCTAAAGGGAGAGAGTTTGGGGCCATTTGACCTCTGACCTAAACCCTTCCAATGTGTTTGTGTGTGTGTGTTTTGAGGGTTAAACCTTTCCCCATTCTTAAACTTCTCCCTCAATTCTCCAACATTTTCTTTTCGTGGCCAAGTTTTTTCAAACAGTTAAATCAAGCAGCAAAAACAGTTAAATGTATCAGCCTGTGAAGCTGATTCCAATGCATAACTTTGTTTGAACATGCCTCGTCTTTCTCTTTTCATGACGACACCGCCAAGCTTCAAGTCACCCAAGCCATGATGCATTATTGAAACAGGCAACAAATTGCATTGTTATGACCTACAACAACTGAAATGTTAGTAACACCTCTGCACCTACCCGCTCAAGAATAAATGCTCATTATTTTCATCTCATCATATTTCTACTTTCAATGTTTGCATAGGTATGAAAGCATTTTTGTGAGGTGCAGAAAACATACTTTATTCTATTTGAGATTTTATTTTGTTAATTTTATTTATCAAGAAAGAACAACTCAATCAGATCTCCTTAAAAGATTGCTAGCCAGATGCTTAATGTGGGATGTTTTAATTTGACAGTGTTTGATAGCATGCGTAAGCTCTCCAAGACCTATGATCATCTCATGGTATAATCAAGATCATCACTTTTTACTCATTTACCCTTATGGATAAATGCATCTTAAACAGGTGGTTAATGTTTAAGGGAAGATTTTTACTCTGTCCTTCATTTTCATTAGATTTGAACAGACCTTTATAATTATGGGTTTTAAAGTCCTGCCGTCTTAAAAGTTGGTTTAGTTTTTTTCCCATCTACCCCTTGCCCTTTACACCTGACGGCTCACGACTTAATCTGCATAATGCAGATGATCCATTTCTGATAAAGTGTGTCCTTCAGTTAGTCAGCAACAGTTGGTATTGTTTCTGCTCTGGCCTACCCAGACAACTGCCCTGAACCAGGAATAGATGGAAAGACAATAACTCATGAGTGTTTAAATGTAGCCATTCTAATCTACCAAATTTTTTGCCAAGAAGGCATTCGGAGAATGTTCCCTCCTGCCTGAGTTGGTTTAAGGCAGTGAAACATGGAGGAACATGGCAAGAGTGTACACTGCTATGTGCAGATCTGTTAGGTGGAGAAAAGTCCTCATGAAGCACT